TCTCGCAAAGCTCCTGGCCATGACCTAATCACCTCCCAGATCCTAAAATGTCTTCCTAAAAAAGCCATATTGTTCCTAACCTATATATTTAATGCTGTACTCCGCACCACATATTTTCCTGACTCTTGGAAACTATCCATTGTCAAAATGATACCTAAACCCACAAAGCCGCCAGAACACCCATCCTCTTACCGTCCTATCTCCCTTTTACCCATTATGGGCAAAATCCTGGAAAAACTCATTTTAAAACGCCTGTATCCCATCCTAGACTCTAAACACATTATCCCAGATCACCAATTTGGATTCCGCACATCCCACTCCACTATTCAGCAATGCCATCGTGTGGTAGATGTAGTCTCCTCTGCATTGGAGCGCGGAATGTACTGCACGGGAGTCTTTCTCGACGTTGAACAGGCGTTTGATAGAGTCTGGCATCCGGGACTGATGTACAAACTCCGTGAATTCCTACCACCTACATACTTCCTCATTATACGTTCCTACCTTACTGACAGATACTTCAAAGTCAATCATAACAATGCTTATTCATCTCTTTTTACTCAGTCTGCCGGTGTTCCTCAAGGTAGTATCCTAGGTCCTATCCTTTACACAGTTTATACAGCTGACATCCCAACCCAATCCAACACTGTCATCACCACCTATGCCGATGACACGTGTATCCTATCAGTTAATAACGATCCTTTAATTGCATCCCAAACTCTTCAATCACATATCACAAGCCTTGAAGAATGGTGTAAAAATTGGAGAATAAAAATAAATTCCAACAAATCCCATCAAATCACTTTTACCCTCCGTCGTAAACCTATGACCTCTTGTCCTACAGTATCCTTCAATAATACTCCACTTATTCCTGTTGAGCAAATCCGCTACTTAGGACTCCACCTTGACAAACGACTCACTTGGAACCCCCATACCAGACTGAAACGACTAGAAACCGCCCGACGTTTTCGACTACTGCAGCACTTACTAGACAAACGATCTAAGCTTTCAATCAATTATAAACGACTCGTATATATGACAATAATAAGACCTATTTGGACTTACGGAATTGAGCTTTGGGGCTCCACTAAACCATCGAATTCCTCTCGTATCCAATCCTTACAATCCAAAATCCTTCGTAAAATCCTCAACGCTCCTTACTTTGTCACAAATAAAATTATCCATAAAGACCTTAATGTTCCATATGTTTCCGATCTGGCCCAATCCAGATACCTTTCCTTCCATAACAAATTGCAGAATCATCCGAATCCTCTCGTTTCAAACCTTGCTTCCTCCTCGATCCCTGATAACCCTCCGAGGCGTCTGAAAAGAAGATGGCCTCGGGATCTTCTAATATAGAACTTTAATTAGAGTTCTACCAATGGGTAGTTTCTCTTCATGTTGTACATGCCATGTTACAAATTTCTCATTTACTTATTGTATTCTCTATGTAATACAGTTGTAAATTCCATTAAAATAAAAAAAAAAAAAAAAAATTATAGTTATTTTTAAACCAATATTAATATATTATTTCTGTTTAAATCTTAATTCTTGAACAATTTTTCTGCATGCCGCCATTAGTGTTGCCCAAATGCGTGACCGAGACGAGTCTTGTTCTTGCAAACTCAGTCTTGGTCCAGGCCTTGGTCTTGCGCAAGAGTCTCGCGACGGTCTTACAATTGGTTTTTTTTTTTTTAGAAAGCAGTGGATAAGCTGATTAGAAGGTTGTGCTCTCAACTGGTCTCTCAGTATTTGCCTATTTTTCAGTGGAATATCTCTGATTTTTCATTGAATACATTTCATGTGTACAGTAGAGCAGTAGATATTGCTGTTTGCTACATTTTTTTTTCTCTTTATTTCTTTCTTCTCTTATGGTATGCGGTCACCAAGTGTTCAGTAAGGTGCCCAAGAGGACTCGGTCATACGGTTCACCAGCCTAACATAGTAGTCGTCGCTGCCATCGAGAAACATCTCCAACAAAAGTGAACACTTCAGAACCAGAACCTCAGCTACAACCAGGAACTTCTTCGCAAGAAATGATCGAAGAATCCCCTTTCCTTACTCCAAACTCTTACCAAGTGCTTCACAAAGACCGAGAAGTAATTTAGTCTGCAGCAATACCCAGAGAACCAATTCCTTTTCGCTGACAACTTCCTTATCTATCTATCTCTCTCTCTCTCTCTCTCTCTCTCTCTCTATATATATATATATATATATATATATGTGTGTGTGTGTGTGTGTGTGTGTGTTTGTGTATTTGTATGTTTATATGTATGTGTGTGTATATCTATATTTATATGATATGTTTTAATTTTAATTTCAATTATTTTCCATTATTACTCAGCAGTTATTATCTTTGTTTTATTGCCTCTCCAGAATTTCTATTAAACTATTTAAATTTATTATAATATTCATTTATAATTTATAAATTATTTATTTATAATTTATTTATTATAAATTTATTTTACATTAAACTATTTTAATGCCTCTTTCTATTAAACTTTCGTTTAATTATCCATAATATTTATGAGTAATATATCTCTCGTCCTTATTTAGGCTTCCGGTACTTTAGTTCAAACTTCGTCAGATAACGGTTGGAGATGACGCCACTATACATCTCTTCTCTCCACCCCCTCCCTGGCTAACATATTGCTCCGATTTATACCTTTGGAGTCAAGCTTTTTTTTCTTTTTCTCTTTCTTATTTCAGCCTTCTCAGTTTCTTTCCTCCTTCCTTTCATTCCTTTTCTCTGCTTTAACTCTTTATTATATTATACGTTGTCTATACATCTTGATAGGCTTTACAATATCTCAATTGTCTATCTAACTATTCTATCCACAATATCTTAATGTTACTATTTATTTCCATTTCTTATATAACTTCATAATTTTCTGTTTTACATTTTATTCTAAGATTCCCGTTTTAATACATATGTCACCTTTTTTGATTATGATTCCACACTTTGTACCGGTTATTATTATTTATCTCTTAGTTCTTACTATTGGCATTATTCTAACAACTGCATTTTACTTTTATTTTATTTTTTTTGTTTTTACCTACACTACTTATGTTTCTCATACCTTGTTATCTGGTTCTTTTCTTAGCTCTGATGAAGGCCTGAACTTCAGGTCGAAACGTCGGCAAATGTCAAAAATGTATTTGACTGATCACCCCAACTATTCTTCTCTTCAAAATAATAACTGTTTTTTCGGGTGGAGGCTGATCGGATGGGGCTGCTGCCAGGCTCTCCCTACTATGCCATCCTACTTTTTTCACAACAAATAACTGTCGTGAAGATGTAATATCACGATATGAGGTATTTTAAAAAAAAATGAACAGAATTTGTCTAAGGTTTCTGTTTAAATATTTTTTTTCTCTTATTTTTTATTGTTTTATTCTGTGTTGAACGTGAATTTTCATCACCACTCACTAAGCATTGTGAGTAGATAAAATTTGTTTTCCTTAAGTTCTAATTTGTTATTCATGGAATGTATTTCAGTGAAATGTATTTTATTTCTAATTATGTTCAACATACTTCTCGCTATGTGTATATATATACTTTATTTTATTTTCTCTTCTCCTAATCTTTACGCATAATCACTTAAATATCTTAGGGAACATATGTATATCATTATTTGTTTTTTTATATATTTTTTTGTTTTAGTTTTTACAATTTCTTTCCCTACATATTAACAGTTATTATTATTTTTTTTAATTTTTATATTCCATCACTACAATGCTTTACCTTTTTTTTTTTTTTTTTTTTTGTTCTTCCTTACCTCGCCTTTTAGGCTATACTCCCGTATAGGATTTTCCCGGGCCGGGGGGTGATGGCGGGGAATTTAAAATCCCCTCCGGCACCGGGACGCGAACTCGTACTTTTTATATCATCTCAAATCTCTGTTATCCGGTTGCCAGGCAACTAGCGGTGTTGTGCACACGCTTTAGCCTATTCGGCCACCCCGCCCCCAACAATGCTTTACCTATAAAATAGATTTTACTTTCCTTTCTAATTTCATTCAGTGATTATTAGGCAATTATTTTAGCTCCAATATTGTAGTACTGAACCCCTATTACCCAACTGTCCTCGTTAATTTATCCTAAGAGCTTAATTAATACTTAATGTATTACATGTATTTTGTCATTATTCATTGTAATAAGTCTTTTGACCAGATTTGTAGTTAATATATATGAACAATACTGTTATTCTAAAGGGACCTCGTCCCAGAATAAAGATGATTTTTCTATTTCCATTTCTATTTCTAAATAATATGTTTAGCGAGAAACACTTAAACTCTTGACTGATCGTGAGATACTCTCTCTAAGATTCTAAGTACTCTAATTAGTACTATATATTTACTTATTACTGTATAAGCTTCAACTTGTCATTCCACAGGTGCCTAAAAACCATGTCCCTGGCCGAAATAAATGAATGATTAATAACTTAGGCCTCTGTCTAAATTCTATAGGTGTCTAGGCAGAGACCTTCTTCCACAGAACTCCTTGGTTCATAACTCATCTCCCTGATGCTTAAGAATTCTAATATTTTGATGGTAATTAGCACAATATATCTACTTATATTTGGTATAAGTTTCAATTCTTATTACTTCTAAAATAATAAGAATGGATTAATAAAATTTCTAAAAAAACAAAAGTGTCATTCTTATTATTATAAAAAATATTTAAATACATGGTGCATATATATTCTTTTTAAAGTTCAACTAATAAAACTAAGTTCAATATTACTTTGGGATTTTAAAAATAATAAAACAAATATATAAATAATCATAAAAAAAAAAAATTAGCTTTATAAAAGAAATATTCTGTATTATTCACAAAAAGTACATGATACGGTCGCTGATATATAGTAACGAATTGATAAATATAACAAAACAATTATATATGTAGGATTTATATTTATTTTTTAACGAAATAAATTTAATGTATACAATAGTAATAAAAATTCGATGATAAATAAGTCTTTTTAATTATTTTTTTTTTATCTAAGATATGTTTCCATCCCCGAAAGCTACTTCCTCTATCCAGGAAATGTAATTCGAGACCCTTGTGTATACTCCGGGAGAGTCTGGATAATCCTTATTTCCGCATTGCTTTCCAAAAGATGTTATCCCTATTTGAGTCCTGATACGCTTACCTGGATCTAGTACAGCTAGCGGGCCACCAGAATCACCCTAGAAAAGATGTAGATTTTTATCATATTCATTTTACTTTATTTATTATATGGATTGAGAAAAAAGTAATTTCGTTGTGTCCCAATAGGTTACTATAAAGTCTGTTATCCTTATCTCTCTAATGGAGTCATTAGAGAGTTTGAAAGGTCCATAGAACATTTTGTATATGAAAATATTGTCAAAAATAACATTTAATTATTTGTACTTTCATCAAATGTTATTTTTCTGTTTTACTTCTGAAAAGGAAAAAATGCAGCGTAGCTTCATTGAAAATTTCTTATGGTGATCAGTGTTTAAGCGAACACCAGTTTCAGAATCGATTTGCTCGTTTTCGTTCTAGGAATATTAATGGTAAAGATGAATCTTCCTCTGACCGGTCAATCATTAACAAAGTCGATCAAATTCTTCAAAAAGCCGAGGTAGACCGACATATTTCATCTCGCAAGTATAATAAGGAACTAAACATCAATAAAAACAGTTTTGAACCATTTACATAGAACCAATTATTGTACATGCCAGTAGAACCGCGATAATTGGGTTCGCTGTTTTCTATTTGTGAATCGCTGCTGAAACGAAACGATATCTAGCCATTTTAAAAATAAATGATTACGGGTGGACCAATTACGAGAATAATGTGCGAAAAAGATTGTCGTTGAACCCCAGAGAAGATTCACAAACAATGACAAAGGCCGGATTGACGCCAAGGAAGCGGATGGTGAGTGTTTGGCATGATTGGAAAGAAATTGTTCATCATGAGTTGATTGAACCTAGCATCATTCAACTCTCTACCACTAACAATTAGTGCGATTGAGTAGGTGATTTAAGAAAAACGGCCATAATTCATCAAAAGGAAAGGCGTTCTTTTAAATCAAAACAACACTAGACCACACACACTTTTTATGACCCGGCAAATATTGAAAGAGCTTGGCTGGGAAGTTTTGATTCATCCAAAACTTTATGCTAAGACCTTATGCTTAGACCTTGCCCCGTCTGACTAACATTTTCTCGTTCTCTGCAGAACTCTCCTAATGGTGTAAAGCTGAAATTAGAAGGAAATTGTGAAAATGACTTGGTTTACTTTTTTGACTCAAATTTTGACGGAAATCAGAACTTGTACAGTGAAGAACTTTGGTATATCTTTGGTTAGTGTTTAAAATTTAAATAAATAAATTCTCTTTAAAAAGCAAAAAATAAAAACAGAATTACCTTTCCTCAACCAACTTATATATTTATATATATTTTAACGACAAAACGTAAATTACTGACCTCGCAGGTATCCTTGCTTCCATCAGGCAGTCCTGCGCAAATTATCTGATCAGCGTCAGAATCCCAACGAAACAAGATTCTAACCCAGCCGCTGTGCATAAATCTCATACATTCCGTGTCATTGTAGACGTCTATATTTACTTCAAGAAGCTTCTTGCTAGTGGATCCTCCTGTAAATGTAAAAAAAACGGATAATTACAAAACATATTTAGTTTTTTGACAACAGTTTTGAACAAAAAATGTTTTAAGATCTACAAGAAATCTTGTATATTGTCATGGTACAAAGTTAGTATTGTCCTATTTTCTAAGTAATACAAGTATGGGGTTATGTTAAATTCGCCTTTCAAATTATGCACCACCTCACTTGGGTGTATTTTTGTATCTTGGATGCAGAGCTTTATAGAACGGGCCCAAACCATGGGCAAGCTTAAAGGCGGTTTGAGGCTTGCTCGTACTAAAGCTTCATTTGGTGGTTATAATTAAGTAAATATGAGGATTAATACTTACTACCGCTGGTCCTTCCCCAACCCATGGCTGTAGCAATCTTTGAGGTTATATCTCGATTAGTATGAAGACAAATTGGATATATATATGTACTGAAAACAACAGCGCTATCCAATTTGAAGAGGGCGATATCATGATACGGTTGGCTTGCTTTGTAACTCGGGTATGGAATTCTCTTGTCGATAGTCCTGTCGACTGGTTTAGCGTCGTCCGAAGAGGAACTGATGTCTAATTCTCCTAATCTGGCCCATCTGGCAGGACCCCTTAAACAAAATTACATTATAATGAATCTTTTTCAAATTTATATATGTGTGTATAGTAATATATTTTTGTAGTTCTCATCTACATTGTAATCTTAAACATAGTTAAAACAGTTATTCATATTTTGTTATCGTATGCTTACGTAAAATACGCAAGATGTACTTATTTAATCTAATTTATTGTTATATATTAATTTATTTAATTTTAGTGTTTTAATTAATTTATTTTAGTAGATCATATTATTTTTTCAATCGTAATTTAAAATTATTTAAAGACTTAATTTTGGTATTTTTACTAACCTAACTTTTAGTCCAGTCATTTGGTGACGGAAAGTAGTCTATCCAGAAAAATATTATCTATGCCGGCTCTATATGTTTTTTGGGATGCTGAATCTGAAAACCAAGATATCTACTAGATTCGTATGTGGTTTTACCATAAAACTGGCAAAAAAACCAAAACATTTCGGAAGTTTTTTCAGTTTTTCGTTTATAACTCCAAAATCACGCACCCTAGAAAAAAACCGGCTCTATATGTTTTTTGGGGTGCTGAATCTAATTATAATATATCTATAAAGCTAATTAACTGAAATCAGTTAAAAAGATAGCAAACCCCTGGAATATTAGACCTAGTACTAGAAAATATGAAGTTATAATGTCACGATTAAGGATCGGGCACACTAAGCTAACTCACAGCTACCTAATAAAAGGAAAACCGCCGCTGATGTGTACCAGTTGCCGACAGTAAAAAACTGCCAAGCACCTATTGATAGATTGTAAATTACACCAAGAAACATAAATAAAACCATTTAAAAAAGAAAGGAAAGAAGTTTTAGAGAGGATCTAAAACGTAGATAAGAAATGACAATAAATGTAAGGACCAATCATGCAATATTTAAAATAAATCAAAGTTTTTAGGCAATTGTAAAATGTAAGAAAGGAATGATGCCTCTAGCCTAATGCAGCAAAGTATGACAAAACTACTGTAGTGGCACAAGCGAATGACATTGCAACTTACAGTGGCTCCTTAAACTCAACGAAAGCTCTATGGAAGGTGAAGGTGACTTGTGAAGAAATCACAAAGAAACTGGAAGGACCTAATATTACAGTTAATCCCAAGAAGACCGACTATATAATGTTTTCCTTCCAGAAGAATAAACTCCCTCTTCCTAAGATATATATATAGGGTACCGGCTAAACAAATAGACCAGCATAGCATAGTGTACTTGGGTGTCACCCTTGACAGGTACCTAACACTATTCCACCACAGCCAGAAGATGATTAAGCTGGTGAAGACCAAGTCTTAAAGGCTAAATCATCTGTTGACCTTACGAATTCCTCACAACACCCCACACAACACTCAATCCCATAAAGAAACATTTGAAAATCCCAACCACTGATCTTTGGGGATAAGAAAAAAAAAGTATACCAATCACTTACAATTCATAGGGATGAGAACAATGAGCTGCACTCAAGACATAGCTTTCTGTAATTAGAGTTCCACCACATCTCCACTCCTTCGTTGTTTTGTAACCGATCAGAACCTGTATAAAGCCAAATATGAGTATAATACATTAACATTATAATCTTCCTATACGTTATATATATTTTTTATTTTCTATTTATATTTTTTATTTGCATTCTATCTAATTAATCTGAACTAAAATAATAATTTATATTTATTTAATTAACAGAACTTCTCATTGTATGTACAATTAGGCAAGAAAAACAAGTACGGCTTCAAATTAATTGTCTTTTTATTTGTGATATTTACGACTATATTAATATAAAAACATCAACTAAATGTGTATACTGAAATATAATCACATGAAAACGCTTGTTGAGAACCTACCCATTGGTAGCACTCTAATAATATGTTCACAAAAGGAGTCCATACTTACAAATGTCATAGCTAATCGTCTCCCATAATAAGCTTTCTTTCAATCGTCTCAAAATTCGTTTACAAAATAATCTACAAACGCATGCTACCCATACTCGAATCCCACAATATCCCTTCCCACCAGTTTGGATTCCGCTCAAGACATTCCACTGTTCAACAAGACCTTCGTGTTGTGGACCATATATCCTCTGCGCTTGAAAACAAACAATAATGCACTGTAGCTTTTAACCGGGTGTGGCACGATGGCTTGCATTTCTGGGTTAAAAACCATATACTCCAATCTTTGAATCTAGTCCTCAAATCCTATCACTTCAACCGTTCCTTTCAAGTCCGCTATTACACAGTTGAAGCTGTTGTTCTACAAGGCAGTGTCTTGGGCCCAGTTCTCTACATCCTCTTCACCTCCGACATCCAAACCAATCCCGATACCCTGATAGCATCATTCGCTGATGACACCGCCATCCTGTCATCCAACCCAGACACTGAAACAGCACCTCTAAACCTACAAAGACACATCTCTCTAATTAAGCAGTGGTGCAGCTATTGGCGCATCAAAATCAACGAATTGCAATGCAAGGCATGCCACCTTTACGCTCCGACACAGATACTGTCCACCTATTCTTTTCAACTCTGTACATCTTTCCATTTTAAACACACTTCAGTATCTTGGATTCCTTTTAGACAAAAGACTAACATGGAACCCCCATACCAGACTTAAAAGACAAGAATTTAACCGACAATTTGGCTAATTATATAGACTAATCAACAGAAACTCTAACCTCTCAATAGAAAACAAATGATTAATTTACTAAACCATACTAAAACCTATCTGAACCTACGATCTTTAATTATGAGGAGCAGTTAAATTTTAGAACATCAAACACATCCAATCCCTCCAATCTCCATCAAGTCCTTCGTATAATAGTCAATGATCCTTATTATGTTACAAACAAAACTCTACATCATGACCTTACCATCTCGTATGTCCTCGATGTTATTCATCCGATTTTTCAAATTTTCATCAGAACCTAATCCATTATTCTAATCCCTTACCACAATTATTATCCAGTTCCAGTCATTCTACCATCCTCCTCGAAGGTTGAAACGGCAATTGGCTCGAGATCTTTTGTAAACACATCATTGGAGTCCTGGCAATAGCCAGCATCTCCTCTCAAATTATGAGCGTATGTGGCTTTACTAAATAAAGATATAAAAAACAAAACAAAATGAGATCTTCATTTCAGACCGCGGCCATCTTCTTTTTAGACGTCTCGAAGAGTTATCAGGAGTCTGAGATGAAGCAAGTTTAGAAAGAGGATTCGGATGTTTATGAAGTTTGTTTATGAAGGAAAGGTATTTTATAGGTATGAAAGGATTCGACCAAATTGGAAACACATGGAACATTAAGGTCTTTATGAATTATTTTAGTGACAAAGTAAGGGGCATTGAGTATTTTGGATTGTAGAGATTGGATACGAGAGGAATTCGATTGTTTAATGGAGTCCATTAGCTCAACTCTTTAAGTCCAAATAGGTCTTATTGTAGTCGTGTATAAGAGTCTTTTCTAAGTAATTGGAAGCTAAGATTGTTTGTCTAGTAAGTGTTGGAGTAAGCGGAAACGTCAAGCTGTTTCTTGTCGTTTCAGTCTCGCAATTCCAAGTAAGACGTTTGTCCAGGTATCGGATTTGTTCAACAAGAATAATCGGGATGTTATTAAAGGATACTTTAGGACAGGAAGTCATAGACGGCGATGAGTAAATGTAATTTCATGGGATTTATTGGAATTTATTTTAATCCTCTAATTTTGACACCGTTTTTCAAGAATTTAGATGTTTGATTAAAGAGTTGTGGATACAATTGATGGATCGTTATTAACTGATAGGATACACGTGTTATCGGCATAGGTGGAGATGACAGTGTTTGGATGGGTTGGGATGTCAGCTGTATAAATTGTGTAAAGGATAGGATCTAGGATACTACCTTGAGGAACACGTGCAAACTGAGAAAAATAGATGAATAAGCATTGTTATGATTTACTTTGAAGTATCTGTCAGTAAGGAAGGGACGGATAATGAGGAAGAATGGAGGTCTTAGGAATTTACGGAGTTTGTACGTCAGCCCTCGATGCCAGACTCTTCCCGACAGGAGACCCGCTAATTGTTATTACTTGGATCAGAAGTTGTTAAAGATAAAGTTTAAAAAAACAATAATAATCATATCTTATCTTCACGACCATGCAAAAATTTTCTTGCTTCAATAATTAATGAAACGGTAAAAAAATGCGCCACTTAATAATTTATAACCTAGTCAAAATATACATCCCTAAACATTTTATTGATACCGTACTACACTCTTCTGGGCATCTCTGCACTCAAACAAATATCAAAGATGAAAAATTATAACATGAAATCTTAAAAATAAGAAAAAGCATGGAATGGAGCAGTTAAAAGCCTTACCATATAAGTATGTGTCCTGGGTGCAGACTCTCTACCACCCAACACCTTATTGACTTCCTGGATATTTTGGTATCGATGATTCAATTGCGTACAATCTGTAAGAAAACAACACTAACACATTGCAGGCAACCTAAAAGTATTTGAATTAGTGAAACTAATTGGTTTAATAGTATAACAAATGCTCTTAAAAATATCAACAGCATTGATATTATATCAAATTAATAATGATTATAATCTATAAGAACTCCAACAAAAACCCATTAATCTCTCAAATATCAGTTTATAAACTGCCAGATATTAGCGTTTCACTGATTATTTAATACCACTGATCAAAGGGCAATTTTAGAGGTACAGACCAATTCGAGCAATCGAATTTCAAAAGAAAATAGTAAAACAATTCACGTTTCTAACTTTTTTTACTTTGGGGAGAATTAAATTCATTTCCCTGTTTCACATTCATTTTTGTTAATTTTACCTGTTTAATGTTTTTGAAATCAAGAAATAATTCAATTCAGGTTAATGTGTGAGAAGGCAGGATGGTCAAGAAAATACTGTCGGATTTCAGAATACCCCATCGCGCATCAAGTTTTTGTAACTTTTCGGATTTAATCGATATTAGGGTTCCACTATTAAGTTGTAAGGAGCGCTATTAATAAAATACTGTTGGATTTCAGAATGCGCAACTGCGCATGAAGATTTTGTAACTTTTAAAATTTATTCTATATAAGGTCCTCTATTATGTTGTTTAGGGCGCTTTTAATGAAATGATTGTCGAAATTGAAAACATGCAACTATGCATCAAGTTTTTGTAACTTTACGAATTTTATCGATAATAGGGTCCCCTATTATGTTATAGGGGACGTTTTTTATGGGATATTATAAAAACCTTAATGGGGAGTTGCGCATTCTCAAATCCGACAATATTATCATAAAAAGCGTTCCCAAAAATAATATAGTGGACCCTAATATCAATTGAATACTAAAGATTAAAAAACTTGATAAGCGGTTGCACATAGTCAAATCCACAATATTCTTAAAAGTTTCCCCGACAAAATAATAGTGGACTGTAATATCGATTAAATCTCAGAAGTAACAAAAACTCGATGTGCGGTTGTGAATTTTCAAATCCAACAGTATTTTCATTAAGAATGTCCCCAAACACCTAATAGTGAACCCAACTATCGATTAAATCCTAAATATTATAGAAACCTGATGCGCAATTACAGAATCTTAAATCCGACAGTATTTTTATAAAAACCGCTCCCGATAATGAAACAATAGTGGATCCTAATATCGATTAAATTCGAAATGTTACAAAAACTTGATGCGCGGTTGCGCATTCTTAAATCCAACAGTATTTTCATTAAATCCGCCCACAACATTATAATGGACCCTAATATCGATTAAATTCGAAAAGTTACAAAAACTTGATGAGCGGTTGGACATTCTCTTATCCGATAGTATTTTTATTAAAAGCTCCTCTGAGAATATTATAGTGCACCCAATATGGAATAAATCTGAAATATTTCAATAAGTCGATAATTTTTCAATAAGTCGATGATTCACGTTATTATGGATAATATTTTTAAAATCTATAATCCCCATAACATAAGAACGTACAGTAATATTGGAGAAATATTCTGCTTCTGTCATTTGTCGAATGAAGTACTGGATTACTTTGAAAAGTACTCAAAGTGAAATAATTCTAAGCAAATGTGAAAATGGAAAGTACTAATGAGAAGAGCTGAGTAGTTTTTGTATTCGTCTATCATAAATTACTCGATACTCGGACCGCGGGAGTATTTAAGTAAAATACTTTGTAATTTCCACTACTTACTCAGAGTACTTTATGCCCATCTCTACCTTTAATCTTGCAGGATCCTCAGAAACCATTTCAGTCTTGATGACACCTGAATCGAACATAACATTGCATGGTTTGTAATTTAGGCTAATGAAGAAAGAATACTACTCTTCTTGTTTATTTTAGTCTTAATATGTAAGATCATTTCGGTTTTTGGTTAATAATAGAAGTCTCTTCAGTATTAGCAATGTTATGAAACCTTATTTATTAACAAAACATTTTTTCTTGCTGTTTATTCTGCGATTTAAAGTAGAATTTTCATGAAATTGAAAAAGGAGTCCTCAAACCGTCAAATAGAAACTCAAAGAAAATACTCTTACATTGCTCTACCTTGTTCCCCTGGATAACCCTTGCTGTTACCTTGGGGGGACAGCATATGATCAGTTCAAAGCCTTTAAAGGAACAGATTACGGAGCGGACCCTCATGATGTCTTCGATGGTCAGGCATTGGCTTCTTTGGGTGCAAGTGCCTCGGCTTCCATCAAGAGTTTTACACTCGGCTCCTGCGAACAATGAGAACGTGAGGTAAGAAAGGTTATAGAAAAAGGTAATGATAAAAATACATGCTTCTGACCTGATATATTTAACAACACAAAATTATTGGTCTGTGATGATAAGACAAACAATGTGCACATATTTATTCTATCATCTAGTCAAAGCATTGAAAACCCACAAAATTCGTCGAAACACGGCATACACAGCACATGCCTACTGTGTTTCATTTTGACTAGGTCTCAATTGTCATAAAAATTATTTTATACGACAAATGGTGAATCTCAACTTATTGGGTAACAAACTTCAACTTCATCATTATGGACTTAAAACTTGCTAAACAAAGAAATTTGTTAAAAAGCGGTGTATCTATATTATAGTTGGAGAGCGATACAATAATTTCGAATAATTTTATGAAAAACTAAACTAGCATATTTCACCTTGTAGCTTAAAAGCCCACTTATAATTTTGTCTTGTTTACTATGAAGTTATTGGTAATCATATATATATATATATATATATATATATATATATATATATATATATATATATATATACTCATTTAAATTGGGAATTAGATCACTTATTATTAATAATATTCTTAATACTTAATATTAAGTGACCTAATTCCCAATTTAAATAAGTATGTTAAAATATAATATTCAAAGGTCATACATATACATTTATATTTTTTTTTATATTTCAATTTTATGGAGTGTAAGTGTTGATTTATTATCTTCTAGCCTTGAAACACAGTTCATACCATCATGATAGATTAAATCTTCAAATCAGAATTATATCTTTACCCCAGAGGTATAGGAGACCATGCCCATTTTTCGGTTAAATAATTTAGTAGCTACGAAATAAATTGTAATAGCTCAAAGTTATGAAAAATTGGATTCTCTGAACAAATATAAACATGTGGTGCGGTGCACGCACCACACAATGTTCACTTATCACCCTCTTTTTAACAGTATTTTCAGTATTATTATAAGTATTTAATAATATTGTAAGTATTTACAGGCGAAGGGGAAGTGAAAGAAAAATTGTAGATGCTATATTTCTTTGTAAGTATTTTTATTTGTTTAAGTAGCCTTATGTATAAAATTAACAGGTTCAAGGAACAGGTTCAAACAAAAACTGAGATTTTTTATGTATTTGGTGGAAATTTTCTATTTATTTCCAAACCATCTTACATAAAACTGGATAAATAGCCAACGAATGTAGTAAATCCTCCCTCAGTTTTAAATCAAACAGAGCCCATTGGAATGTTCATCATATCCTAATTAATTATTTTCTGCTTGTCACTCAATGAGATTCACTTCTACAGTTGGATAAAACCCTTATGTGAATGATATTCTATCGCACTCAGCCAATATTTTTAACAAAAATCTTCTTCTTCAATCGGCGCAACAAGCCATTACTGACTCCTGGCCTCCTCAAGCAGCTTCCGCCAGTTCAATCGATTGAGTGCAACTGCTCTTTAATTCCGTGCTACGAGCAGGGTGCTTGAATCTTCTTCAACACCATCTAACCATCGAAGCTTTAAGAGATTTCTCGGCCATGTTCCATGTAGGCGCTCATTAATTAGTTTATTTGGGATCTTAACAGTCCCCATCCTAGCTACATGGCCTGACCGGTGCAGCCTGCCAACTCTTACAATTTTTCCAACATCAGGCTTAACAATCAACGAATAAACTTCTCAGTTCTAAGACTTAGGTGGTTCTTTCAAGCTTCTTGGATGGCCTGTCATACGTCTTCTGTCCACCAGGCTGTTCTTCTAGGACCAAAACCCTTTTCCCCGTAGACCAATTTCTATGCATCAAGGAGGATCTTCCTAAAAGCTGCCCAGCTCCTGTCAATGTCATCGCAGTCCTAATGTCTGATGTTGTCTAGGACCATTCGTTCTATTTCTTCTTGAAAATAGGTTTCCAGGTCATCCTGTTTTATGACATATTTCTTGGAGTTCTTATTTTTTTTTCATGGTTTCAACTCGTTCCAACATCTATTGATTATCAGCAGATAATGATCACTGCCTATCTCTAACCCTCGCTTCACCCTGGCATCCATTACTCCTCGTATTTCTTCTCTTTTGACCAAAATATAGTCAATAATAGATTTTTCATTTCTTCATGCTTTTTCTCTCGTAAATCTATAACATTCTTTATGCGGAAAAAATGTATTTGTTACCATCAGATCATTTGCCTCACAGATGTTCAGGATTCTGCGGCCATTATCGTTTATAAATTTCTCACCATATCTTCCTAAGGTTCCCAGTCATCTCTCGGAGCTACAACCGACTCTCCCATTCGGATCTCTAACAATTATGGGCGTGCCTTCGCAGTCATCAACTTCTCTTTGAAGTCCACTTTAGAAGGCATCTTTTTCATCAGAGTTAGCACTATCGTATGGCCCATAAGCGAATATTACTGAATGAATTTTTTCTCCCTCCAGAATGTCCAGCATCATTATATTGCTACTTACAAACTCCCATGTTTTTATTACGTAAGCCAAGTCATTATGGAACAAGAATCCAACTCCACAGGCTGCTCTCTCATCGTTGATTACACCCGAGTATAGGAGAGTGTAATTTTGAATCTTCAATTCTCCTTTTCCTTTCTTCTTTTTTCATGTAACGCCTAAAAGATCTACTTTGGCTTTTGGCTTTTTGGATCTCCTCCACAAGCTCGCACTTCTTCACGTTCAGGCCACAAACGTTCCAAGTCCATTATAATAACCATTTTCCACGTCGCGTCGAATTATGTAAAGACAATCCAGCTCTTTTCATTCTGTTATTTGTGATAATATAAATTTAAGGAGAATTAGTTATCAGCCAACTGCCCCGAGTCAGGTGGAGGGGCTGCCTCCTCAGAGCGTCCTGACATGCTCTCCCAACCGGAGTGGTTATCTAGGAAAGGTGGCCCTAAGGTGTGCACTATTGTTGACCTTGATCTTTAGTGTGGGGGTGAATGTAGTGTGCTGTAATATGCGTGTCAGTGTAATGTTCCCCCAATCTGGAGGGCCAGTGGCTATCTGCGGTACTATGACCGGGCGATGGGGCTGCCACCTCCCTACGCCAAGGGTTTTGTTAGTATTAACAACAAATCCTAGCTTTCTGGCAGCATAGTCAAAGGCCAGAAAGGCTTTTTCCACTACAACTTTTAATCTCCCAACTGCCCCCGAGTCAGGTGGAGGGGCGGCTACATAAGGAAGGTGACCCTAAGGTGAGTACTGTTTTTGACCTTGGTCTGTAATGTTGGGGTGGGTGTAGTCTTATGTTAATCATGTAAATATGTGCGTGTCAGTATACTGTCCCCCTAACTTGGATGGCCAGTGGCTATCTGTGGTGCAATGACCGCAACTGCCTATGCCTGAGTTAACAATTTTTTTTTCTAACAAAAATAACTATTATAAATCATACACATCTTTAATTATTTTTTTCAGTAACCTGGGATGTATTGTAATAAATTAATTACTGAAATATACATTAATTCAATATTTTCGAAGCAGTTTTTATTTGTCTTGAGACAGATATGAAAAAAATAATAAATTATTCCACTTATTTTTCCTCATTCCTTGCCCAAAGATTTTAAATAACAAAATAAATAAATTCGAAATTATGAACTGATAGTTGTTTCGGAATAGCTACTTAGTAAGAAATTTACTTTCAGAAGTATAATTTTTTTTTGTTTCATGGTTCGTATGTATCTTGTATGTATTTTAAAGTAAGTTTTTTTTTAATTAGTTATTTTAAGTAGGATTCATTGAAATATAGGAAATAAGATTCTTGAAGAAATCGATTTTTCTTAAAGGTATCTTGAATCCAATGATTTCTTTTAGATTAATTTAATACCAACTTTAATTGATTCGAAAAAAATACTTGTACTTGTAAATACTGGACTTGTATTAATATGGTTAAAATATGAATTGTATGGTCAAAAAAATGAAGGTAAATGAAGGTTGAGTAAGATTTTTGTGGTAAAATATAAAGATCATGTTAATCCATTTTAAAGCTGATGTGTATTATGTGTGGGAGAACTTATACTTTTGCCAATAGCAAGTATTCATTTTATTTTCAAAATGTTACATCACATTTGTCCTCTTGACCCTTCCATTTAAATTAGAAAAAAAAAATGAACCGAATCATATTTATTTTATGAAATTATTAAAAATAAAATATCAGAATTACTGTCTAAGGACTCAATGTTTCTTATTATCAATATCAGAGTGTATTTTTTTATGTGAAAACTTCTTTATTTGCTTTGCACTTTTTTTGTGGAGGGTGAATGAGACTTCACGCTCGGACTTCACGTCACGCTTGGATATGTGAAGCTAATTCGGGTAAAGTCGGATCAAGTCGACTAATTGAAGTGTTTTTTTTCAGTTGGACTAAAATATATTAGAAACTAAAAATTGGACCTAAAACAGTTTGCAAGGAAATTGTTCAACATTCCAACCTCTTCCTAATGATCTATTATTCAGAGATGTATCGAAACGCGACGCTGTGTTAGAGAGGCAAAAAGGAAAAAAGACCGTGTCGAAAACAAAAATATAGCGAATTGTGTTGAACATATGAATTAAAATATCTCAAAAACTATAATTAGGATCTGCATAATGTAACAAGGAAATTTTTTATCATTTCCTCCTTTGTATAATGAGATATAATTAAAAAATTTTGTGACGCCGAGTAACAGATTCAGAAACATAAAAAATAAAACTAATAATAACGACAGTTTGAACATTTCGACTAAGATATCTCAAAATTCAGAAATCAATCTTCGGAAGGATATATAGATGTATTTTTATATAGATGTATAGATGTATACATAGATATATAGATGTCTTTTTTTAGCCATAAGAATAAGAAATTAATTATGCCGATTTTCTGTTGCAATTGATTGAGTTTCGACAAATTACTGACCCCCGTTACGTCAGTTAATTTTTAAAAAATACCGAGTTATTGTTAGATATTTAGCAAATAGTTTTCATAACATATTTTAATCATCACAAACCTATTGCATCATTTTTAGAATACGAGTCACATGGAAATCGGTCAGAGCAAAGTTTACTAGAGTAATTTATACATAATTATAATTTTATATGAGAAGGAGTTAGTCGAGGGTGCGGTCAAATACATAAAAAAAAATTAAAATATATAAATAATTTTGACTGCCAGTGTTTCAACTGCCTCCCGCTGTGCCACATCCAACGCCCTGAAGACGACCTGCAAAGTAGGTCGAAACGTCGGCAAAAATTAAAATTATTTATATATTTTAATTTTTTTTTATTTATTTGACCGCATCCTCGACTAACTCCTTCTCATATCATATCAACGGTCAACCATCTCTACATCATTATAATTTTATATATTGCAAATTTTATTACTTTGAGAATAAAGAACAAAAAACGTCTGCAAACTAAAGTCAGTATAGGTTCCTCACCGATTTCACTTAAAAATATGATAGCTTTTCTGATTAATGTAGAAATCGAGACCACGACGAGCTGGTTCAACTTCAATAGAAACAAAACAAAATCACAAATAAGACGCTTTTTTTTTTACAAACTCAATGTAAAAATTAATTAAAATTTAAGGCAATAAGTTTCATGCCTGTAACGTTTGGAATGGACAAGACAATACAAAATGACATAACTTTTTGATTAAATTCTAAAATTTTATAATCTAAGAAAAATATTGTATTAACCTAACCACTATTCCATGTCACCAATTTCTTTCAAATTTCACAGCCACTGTAATGTTAATAGTTATTTAAATTAATTTTTGATTATTAAATAGAATTAAATTAAATTGGTACTAGATAATTTCTGAACTATTTCCTCCAGGGCCAAATTGAACTTGCCGTTTACAAACTATAGGCCTGTCAAACAATACGTTTACTCATTAGAAAGCAGAAGTATTTTTTTTATAGTAGTGGATGGAGTTGAGTAAAATTGATACTTACTTTATTATCTTTTAACGATTTCATAATTTCCCCCAACTTAGAGCCAAATATAGACGTATTAAGTAAAACTCTTTTGCGCATATATAAGAGAAAGAAGAGGACAAAATTCAATAAAAATCTATACAGAATCATTATTTTATCAAAACCCACCTTTCTTTCAACTTTGAGAGAAACCGAACGAGCCGTTTCTGAAGTATTGGCATGTCTAACAAAATACATTTACGAGTGCGGAGGCATAAGTGTATCCATATAAGGCATAATTTAATGAAATTGATATGGGGCCATCTATCCACCAATCCGCACTACAGACAACCAGATACAGTAACAAATTTGATCCTTGATGTCTGAAACGTAAAACGCGAGTGGAAATGTTCGATCTGAGCACAAAATTTTGTTTAACCTCTCGCAAGAATTCAATGCTTGTTGATCTTGTCATGTTGATGTTTTTACTTCTATCCCGTGATCTAAAGGACACATCGTATTTTTTTAAAAATAAATAAATAATTAATTGAATGTACTAATATATTTAAATTTAGCTCACCTTCCTTGAGATGTAATATGTCGGAATTCACCGCAGCCAACCCGAAAACGGATATCAATAAGAGGATCATGCTGGGACTGCTCAGCCTCTGACCCCCACTATTCCACTACAGGCCGGTTTTCTTTTCAAGATAATGGGTGGTACGTCACTTGCATCCATGTTTTCAATTTTCCATTGACTGTGGATGATTCCAAATGTTAATAAACACGAAGAACGAATCATAGGTGAAGGGAGGAATGGTAAGAGCGTGTTAGTTATTTTAATGAAATATATCGATAGACTGAGCAATAAAATATTACGTAACGAATAAAATATTACGAAAACTGAAAACAAACGAAAGTAAAATAATAACTTTTTAAACAGTTACTTTTTTTATAACAGCTTTCAGTTTTCATACATAATATTTTATTACTCAGTCTATCGATATTTTTCCTTAAAATACTAACACGTTTTTAAACGTATCCTATTTAAATCGCTCCGTTCACGTTTAATTTTTTTTTTCCCTCTCTCTCTCTCTCTTTAATATTTCTTTGTGTGTAATATTCGTTTTTTATTTTCACCATGCCCCCAAAATAAATTCTGGATAAATAAAAAATAATAATAATAATAAAAATACATTAACTTGAGATGAAGTATGAGTGCGTGTTGAATCTTAAGTATGGATGGTTGGCTAACTCACTCAGACTTGCAGACAGTCGAATCTCAAAATTAATCTCGAGACCGCAACTGCTCTCATATGTTCAACACTTGGATATTTAGCATACAATAATTATGTCCAGCAGATATTTGTTTCTGGCTTTGTAACATTTTTTTTAATGTTCTATAATAGTCATTTTTTATTTTATTTTATATATATTAACATTTTTTTAATTTTTTTTTTTTATAATATCAGGATACTATACTATACTGACAGTCACTATTTTATATTTATAACTTCATTTCTAGAACGAAATGGTGTACGTGCACCATATTCATCTCTATAATTATAACAAGTCAATTAGGATAAATTAATTAATGGTTTTAACAACTCGTGTCTTACATGATTTAAAAAATATATATAATTTATTCGAATTGATGTGTTATAATTATAGAGATGAATATGGGGCACGGTCACCGAAAGCTATTCTACAAATGAAGTTGTAAAAATATAATAGTGACAATGTTAAGAAATCCTGTTCTTATATGAACATATAAAACAGTCCCAAATTACCTAATAACGACTATTTTTTTTTTTTATAAATCGAGTAAAATACTATTTTTGTTTGTTTTTAGTTTTCATAAGTAATATTTTATTGCACAGTCTAATTAAAGATCTTTTCTTTATAATACACAAAAAGTACATAATACGGTCACTAACATATTAAACAGTAAACAGGAATGTAAAATTCAAAAATAAATTATATATGTTCGATTTACATATCCTGTCTAAATCAAGATAATGTATAAGATAGTAATCAAAATTTTATGATGTATTTTTAATTATATATTTTTTAAATCTAAGAAATATTTTTGTCTCTAAAAGCTTCTATATCTATCCCGGAAATGTATTTCGAGATCCTGGTGTATACCCCTGGTGAATTTGGATAACCATTTTCATCCATCCATCCATACATCCAGTACAAGTAGACCACCAGAATCACCTTTGAAAATATGTTATTTAAATTTCTATCTTTTTAATTTTGTTTTATTTATTATATATGATTTGTTTTGTTTAAATCACAAAACGAAAATACTGACTTGGCACACACCCATCCTTCCTTCCATGGGACACTCCAGAGCAAATAAATTGCTGTGTCGAAACTTTTTAATACTCTCACGCCAACAATAATATACAATTTAAGACACAAAATCGCCTCAGTCAGAAATTGTACAATCAGAAAATATTTTCAAGTATAGGGATTTAGGAAAGGATTTTCAAATGAGAACATTACTTTTTAATGATTTAAACTGTATAAATAAAATTGTTTGCACAAAAATTGCTCTTATATTCTTAAAAATAACTGTTTTCACTCAACATCGTTTTACTAAATTATTAAGCCGGACTAAGTGAGGGAAAATATGCTTGAAAAAGATAATTATTCAGATACAACGGTTCAAGTCGCAAGTCTTTTTTATATCACAATTCTAGGCAATTCTGAGGTGATTCGGCTGAAATATGAGCTAATGAAATTCTGTTTATTATTTCTTTTGGTTTCATGTAGATGTTGGGCCTTTGTCAATATATAACATTCATATTAGGAAAAGGAATACAGCATTTACCTTTTAAATGCTGGAAACATATTCAATCTTTTACTAACGAAATACATATCGTCGGCACCAGTTAACGTAACCAATAGGAGCCTATTTAACGTTACATATTCAGTATTTTAAACTAACATGTCTGTAGTGCAATATTACAATCTATCTCAATTAAAGATATTTACAATTTCGTTCAGAAAGAACATTCAAGCCATATTTACATAAATAAATAAAGTAATAACTATATAATAAATAGAAATAAGAATTTAAAATATATAAGCCTAGGACTCCACCTGGACAAACGTCTAACTTGGAATCCTCATATCAGACTAAAACGACAAGAAACAGTTAGACGTTTCCGACTACTCCAGCACTTACTAGACAAACGCTCTAACCTTCCACTTAATTACAAAAGACTCATTTACATGACTATAATAAGGATTATTTGGACTTACGGAGTTGAGCTATGGGGCTCCACCAAACCTTACAATCCTCTCGTATCCAATCCTTACAATCCAAAATCCTTAGTAAAATCCTCAATGCTCCTTTCTTTGTAACAAATAAAATCATCCATAATGACCTTAATGTTCCTTATGTATCAGATTTGGCCCAATCCAGATATCTGTCCTTCCATAATAAACTTCATAACCATCCCAACCCTCTTGTTTCTAACCTTGCTTCCTACTCAATTCCTGATAACCCTCGGAGGCGTCTGAAAAGAAGATGGCCACGTGATCTCCTAATATAAACATATTATTAGAGTGCTACCAATGGTAGTTTCTCAACATGTTTTTCATGTCATTATATATATGTGCGAATTTACTAGGTGTTTTTTTGTTGTTTTTTTTATACAGTTGTAAATATCATATAAATAAATTTAAAATATAAATAAATGTAAGGTGTAAAGTGAAAACATCTTTAAAGTGAGATTAATAATATGAAATATAAGTTATAGATAGTAGCTGATTATAAAGAAGAAATGCTGAACATTTTCCTCGCCTACAATATACAGGTCTGATTTTTAGTATCTGAAATATTTCATTCCATATGTTCAACTAAACTCGTTATCATTTTATTTTGTCTAAGGAAGGAGATCCCTCATCCAACGCCTTTTTAGTCTCCTGCTCATGTTCTGAGGTATGTCAGCTGTGGCCATGTCTCTTATAAGTCTGTTATTATGTCCATTTAAATTTGTGTAAAATCTTTGATATAGGGTCGTTATATGTTGGTCAACTATCTAAATTTAATGTATTGTTGTAAACTCTCAGTTTGTTATTGCTTTTAAGATTTTTAATTTGAGTATGCGGTTCTATTTTATCCCTCTATTTTTTAATTATATTAATTATATCTTTCAATTTGATATTTGTAAATAAATTTTCTACATCAAAACAGATCAAACAATATTTACCTATTGTCTATTTTATTTATTATTTTAAGCATTTGTTTCACCACCATTGAGTTTTTTACATCATAGTCATTATCTAATTTCAGGTTATTGAGTGTGGAATTTAGATATTTAGCCATTTTTTTCAGTTTCGTTATTGATATTACTGATGATAGGACTAAGTTGAGAGCCACACTTATTTTACTTTACTAATCCATGTATTCAAGGTGTATTGTAGCTAGGGTTAATTAGATTAATTTCGTTTAATAAGACATTTATAAGGTTAATAACAAAGTTTACTACATAAAATATAAACTTCAAAGCTAGATCAACCTAAAAATGCCCTTAATGATTAATAATTTACTTATTTAAATTAATGATACCTACAAGTTTATATTGCATCCAGCGACTAAATAATATTTATGTGGTGTTCTCCAGTTGTAAGGTTATGTAATGTCATATTAAATATTTTTCATTATGCCTACGAATTTCTGCTATTATTATCATTTATATCATTTCACTTCTTATTTATAATAATAATAATAAGGCTTAGCGAACCCGAAGGTTCGATGCCGACACCACCAATCGCTTGTTACACACCTCCCTCCACCGTTCGCCGTCCAAACCCAGTCCCTTCAGATCGGCTTTAATGCAATCTTCCCACCTTCGCTTCGGTCTACCCCTCGGACGCTTACCATTCGGCACAGCAAATATTAACCTTTTAGGAATTCTCTCGTTACTAAGCCCAACAACTTTACAAGCCCATTTGATTCGCCGCGATGAAATTACATCAATTATATTACCCGGATACAGCTCACGCAATTCGGCGTTCTGTAACCGTCTGAACTCTCCGGTTAACTCATCCTTCTTCGGTCCGAATATTCTACGCAATACTTTATTTTCAAAAACCTTAAGACGCTGCTCATCCCTTAATGTAAGCGGCCAAGTTTCGCATCCATAAAGAACTGTAGGCAAGATAATTGTTTTATAGATTCTAATTTTTAAGTTCCGGGACAAGAGGCGCGAACTAAGTAGTTTTGTCACAGAAAAATAACAAGCATTTCCCGCCTTCAGTCTAACCTTAATCTCTTCTTCAATTTCGTTTTTTCTAGTTATCGTTGAACCTAGATACCTAAATTTATCTACCTGTTCAAACATATTACCATCTATATCGATGTCACCAGTAGTATCGCCATTTTTGCAGCTAACCATATATTTTGTTTTATCCACGTTTATTTCGAGTCCTAGTTCTTTACCGGCTTTCATTAACGTTGTCGTATTTAGTTTTATAGTTTCAACGTCTTCGCTTAACAGTACCAGATCATCAGCATAGCCCAGCACGGATGTTGTCCCGCCCAGATCCAACCCTTTCTCGGTTCGCATTACCTCCCTAATGGCATGTTCTAATGCCAAATTGAACAGGACAGGCGAAAGAGAATCCCCCTGTTTTAAGCCCGAACGAACCTCAAATTTTTCGGACAAATTATTACCGATTCTAACTTTATTGAGTGTCTCCGTCAAGCACATCCTGACTAGATTTACTAGTTTTTTTTGGAATCCCCTGCTCAATTAGAATATTATACAGTTTCTGGCGGTCAATAGAATCGTAAGCCTTTTTAAAATCTATATACAGCTGGTGAACAATACCGTTATACTCCAATTTTTTCTCTAATATTTGCCGTAAAGAAAATATTTGATCAATAGTCGAACGATTCCGTCTAAATCCGCATTGGTAGTCTCCGATAATTTCCTCGGCGTATTCCGTGATTCGACTGGTTAAGATTGAAGTGAATATTTTATAACATACCGGAAGGAGTGAAATTCCTCGATAGTTATTACAATCCGTCCTCGGACCCTTTTTGTGAATCGGAATAAGAATAGATTCTTTCCATTCTTCAGGTAATTTCTCGTTCACCCAGATCTTTTTAACCAACCGATGTATTTTAGAAGCTCCAGCTTCCCCGCATGCCTTAATTAGTTCAGTAGGAATATTATCGATTCCCGCTGCTTTATATGATTTTAATTTTCCGATAGCTACTTCAACTTCCTCTTTACTTGGTCCTTCTATTAACGGTTCAGCACTCTGGTACTCAGAAGGAGGACACAGATCATAATTTCCCGTATTTAAAATATTGTCAAAGTGGTCCTTAAACTTATTCAATATGTCAACCGGATCGGTCAGAATATTGTTATTATCATCCTTATTCCAGACGTTACGGGCCCTACATATTTACGTGATCTGTTTATACCTTTGTACATGTCTCTTACGTTATTTTCGATTCTATTAGTTTCTATTTCAGTTATTTTATTTTTAAGATACTCCCTTTTTTTATTTTTGAGCAATTTTGTGGTTTCGTTCTTTGAGATTCGGAAGTATTCCAGATTGTCTTCGCTAGAATTATTTAGAGCTTTTAATTTAGCGGCTTTTCTTTTTTCGCACATGTTTAAGCAATCTTCATCAAACCACGGTTTGTTATTCTTAGTTTCCTTTTTTTCCTAGGCACGAGTTACCGACCGCTTTTATATTATCCCTGATCTCTACCCATAACTTGTCAATATCCTCGTGGTCCTCGTCAGGAAGCTCTAAAGCTTCAAACCTGTTCTTAACATCTACCTCGAATTGGTTTCTAATTGATGGATTTTTTAATTTTTCCAAATTAAAATTCTCAAAATCGAAACGGTTTTCTTTTCTCTTTTTTATATTAAGTTTTTGTCGAAGTTTCGCGATTACTAATTCTTGATCCGACCCACATTCTGCTCCGCGATAAGACCGTACATTGATTATACTGATTTGCCAGCTGTGTTGTATCAAGACATGATCAATTTGATTTCGTGTTTGCGAATCCGGTGATGTCCAAGTATATTTATGAATATCCTTATGTTTAAACGTCGTACTTTTAATTATCAGGTTTTTCGAGATGGCAAAGTTTATCAGACGGATCCCATTATCATTACTATGTTCGTGCAAACTTTCTTTACCAATCGTCGGAATATAAACTTCTTCCCTTCCTACCTTTGCGTTCGCGTCACCTACAATTATTTTCATGTAGTTTCGCGGTAGTTTATCATAAACCCATTCGAGTTTATCGTAAAATTCACTTTTGACTTCATTGTCACTGTCTTCGGTCGGACAATGTATGTTTATTAATGCGATTTTAAACCAACGTCCCTGAAATATAGCTACCGAAATTCTATCACTAAAGAATTGTACGTCGCTCAAAGCGAATAGTAATCTACTCCTAATTAGAAACCCGGTACCTAAACAATGATTCCCGCTTCCTCCGTACCAAATAGTGTACTTTCCTTCCCTCATCGAGCCCTCCCCTGGCCAGCGAAGCTCTTGCAGAGCCACGACATTCAAATTGTACCCATTTACCTCATTCGCGACCGATTTTAGCCCCCCTGCTGTGTTTAAACTCCTTACGTTCCACGTACCAATATTTATATCCCTATATTTCAACTTGCGCCATGAATCCCCTAAAGCAGTCCCCACCCGGAGACCCGAACGGGGGACTAGTTTACCTCGGGATAATGAGCGTTTTACCTTAGGGAGATCCATGACTGTTTGTGGTGTTTGGTGAACTAAAGATATGTGAGTAGGGCGTTCAATCCTACGTCACACCCTCCAGCAAGTCTGGTGGGCCCCTACCTCCAGCAATTCTGGAGGTCCCCTCCCTCCAGCAAGTCTGGAGGTCCCCTCCCTCCAGCAAGTCTGGAGGGCCCCTCTCATTGTTGGTCAGCGAGTCCATCGGACTTAGCCGGGAGGAACTTCCAAGGAATTTCCACTGACCATCCCCACATCCGCCACCCGTGGGACCCTCCCCATACGCGGTAATGAGCCCGCGCGAGGTTTCTATTCCTATTTATATATATATATATATATATATTGTTAATAATGTTGTCAAAATAAAATTTCAATGTTTTAATAATATTAGTATGTATGTACTATATAGTAGCATAAACTCATTTATCTTTTGGTTTTGGACACTATATTTTTCTCTCTCCTACTCTCCAACATGGTATTGGCTCAAGACACAATTTTGAGTGGTAGCTCATTAAAAAGAAGATGAAATGCTGACCACTTCTCTTGCTTCTTACAGTATGCAGGTCCGATTTTTAGTATCTGAAATATTTTAATCCATATGTTCAATTTAACTCGTTACCACTTCGTTTTCGACACTAATTTTTCCTTTTCACCTCCCTAACACGGGCTCGCATTTAGATACAATTTTGAACTATAGCCTATTACACAAAGGATGAACACTGAACAATTTCCTGGTTTACAGTATGCAGACCAGATTTATAGTTTCTGAGATATTTTAATCCGTATGTGAAAATATTTTAATTAGTCGACTCTAGCGTTAATACCGAACGAATCTGACGGATCAATCTATTTCACTTTCCACAAAAATGTGCCTAAAGAAGTATTCATTAAAAAAATAATAATAATATACGTTTTTTATTACTTGTTTATTACATGTCATCTTACGGTTGTCACAAGATGTTGCATAAATAAATAAGCGAATCAATATTGTCATGTCAGTTCTACCAGTTTAAACCAGCATCATTTTCAGAAACAAAAAGAACAATTTCAAGATTTCATTTAGCATAGTGGACGTCTCTTTTAATATTGTTTGAGTCTCATTACTTCTACGGGTTCCAGATATGTGAATATAGGATTTTATTTTGCAAAATCCATTTTGATAAATCTATTTTTTATTGTTTACTAAATAATACATTGTGTCCTTGTTGACATACAAAACATGAATATTAAATACAAGACAAGAGATTATATTCTTTCGAGTTACATTTTAAAAACTATTTTAAGATAATACATAGAATAATAACAACAATGCAATGAAAAGTATTTTTATTCTTTAAAAGCTAAAATATCATTCCGTCTCCGAAAGCTACTTCTTCTATCCAGTATATGTAATTGGAGACCCTGGTGTACACCCCGGGTGAATTTGGATTTCCGCATTCCTTTCCAAAGGATATCACTCCTAGTTGAGTCCTGATACACTTACCTATATCCCTTACAACCAATGGACCGCCAGAATCACCCTAGAAATAATGGTATTTAAATTTGTGCCATGTTAATTTTACTTTATTTATTATTTATATTTTCTTTTTTCTTTTATACCACAAAATGAGAGATACTGACTTGACAGGCATCCTTGCTTCCATCTGGCACTCCAGCGCAAATCATTTGATCAGCTTCATGACCTCGCGGCGTCTGGGGCGTGATCGAGCTGAACATAAGCCTTTTACATTCCGTGTCATTGTAGACTTCTAAATCTGCTTCAAGAAGCTTCTCGCTAGTGGCATCAACTGTAAAAATGATAACGAGCGGATAATTATAAAACATATAATTATTTTTCGACCACAATGTCGGTCAAAGAAACTATTTTAAGGTCACAGAGTCACCTCAGAAGTCTGTGAAACATTAATGAAACGCTTAGAAAACTCGAAGGTTCCATGCCAATACCAACAACCAACTTCTTTTCACGATCACCGATAAAATCCTATTCCGCAAGATCTGCCTTAAAATAATTCACTCACCTAAGTCTCTGGCGGTTGACAATCCTGATAATTTTTTTTTTTAATTTATTTTAATGAAATTTACAACTGTACTATATGAAAAATACAACAAGTAAATGTGATACATGATAATTTATTATTAATTATTAAGTAATAAAGTATCTCAAAACAAGAAAAGAAATCAAGAGAAATAACTTTAGAAGGAAAACTTGATTCAAACCATACCTTTCCTGTATCCTGAAAGTTATATTTCAGAAACAATTAAAGATTTGTTTATAATATTTGATTTTGAGATATTATTTATTCCATTATTGAATTCGAAAGATAACACGTTTGAAAATCAAGATATTTCCGATTTAATTAGTAAATGTTGTACTTATCAATGGTGAAAATAAAATGGTTTTCCCAAATCCTTGATAGAAAGTTGTTTTGTTTTTTTAACTCTTAAACACATTGTACCTTATCGTATTAAAGCCTTATGTGCTCAATCTTTTTCGGGCCAAATATTTTCTGTTTCTATTTCAAAACTATATAATATTTTTTACATAATAATTTCTTTGGTTCTAGGAAGATCTATAAGATATTTTGTGAATATTTTATTTCTTAATAATTTATTTCATTAACTAAATACTATTCACCTTTTACACGAATAGGTTTTTTTAAATTTCGAAACCTTAATTAGCTTTTAGTAGTGACCAAAGAATGACTACGACCCTATTTAAACATTTTAGCTGTGTGCTCCTCGTAGAAATATAATTAACTTTATCCTTGCTCCCAAGTACTTCTTTACCTCGCAACATTTTTCGACCTCCCTCCTAGCAATATTGAATAGGCATACATTAGATTCATGATTACAAAAATTTAGGAGCATTCACACTGAAGGAGATGTGAACAGCTTATGTAAGAAAATTGAAAACATATCCCATAGTATGCAACTTTAGTAGGTTAAATTCGGGTAAAGGCATAAGTGGGGGGAAAAACACGCATGGCAAGAGTACAATATAAAAAAATGTAATGCAACATGGGAAATGTATGTCCAAAGAACGACTGAAATGAAATTGGTAGGAACAGCGATAAGAAAAATTTGGAAAGAACATGGACAAGAACTCAAAAAATGTTATAAAGAAAATACTAAAACGTTTTGTAAAAATAACAAATCATTAAAAGGCCAACAATGCAAACCAATTCGTGATGTAAAAGACATATTCTGCAAAATGCATATAGATGATGCGGATATTCTTGACAGATGGAGTACTATTCCTAGTTCTTTGAAATAATCAACTTTATATGGACAGAGGGGTCAAGCAAGTTAACAGTCTCAGCCCTCTTCTGTTTACTCGTGTACTTACTTCTGTAAGCTCTGGTTTACGCTGACGATATTGTTCTCATAGAGCTTGAAAGATTAAGGATTGTTATTCACGAAAAGAAGAATGAAATCATGCAGACGAAAACCTGAACTTGATGAAGTACAAATAAACTCTGAGGGTGGAAGTAATGAGTTGGTGGAAGAACATGTGTGCCTAAGAACAGCTATTGGAAGAAATGGTAGAATATAGCAGAAAATATCAAACAAACCCTTAAATTAAATCTACTAAAAGATCTACAACACGGCCGTAGGGAAGAGAGAGATCGAATGTATAATAAAAATAAATATATGTAACACATTATACTTTCCAGCCCAATTGTACGGTAGTGTGAACTATATCCTTCTAGGCAAGTATAAAAACAGACTATCCTTGGCTGAAATGAAATACACGAGGTGGGTAGAGGCTAAACTAGAAGGCATCAATACAAAACGAACGAATCAGAGAAAAGATCAAGATACCATCAATGATGGAAATTGTAGAAAAGAAGATGCTGAAATGGTTAGGTCTCATGTGAAATGTTACAATGATGAACGGGGAAAGAGGACCTAGTAATTTGTTCGAGGCAAGAACCAACAGAAAAGAGTCCAAGAGGACGACCTCGGCAAACACGTATGCATGAAATAACCAAGATGGAAGAAAAAAGTGCCAAGCAGTTAGTTAAGCAGTTTTATGAGGATGCTGGCTGGCGAAGAACCGAGAATACGATTACCCTTCTAAGCCGAGAATCACGAATCTTTTTATGACCATTTTTCTTATTGTTTCGCTATATACATATATGTATATATGTTATATCAATCATTAAAATGTTTATTTTATAATATACACGTTTATGAACTGCGCCCTAATGCTTCTTTTACTGTTTCAAAGTTTATCTTAGCCAGTTATCGAAAGCCATCCTCACTTCCAAACTTTAAACTATTTATTTAGATATATTTATTTATACTCCTTTTTCAAAAATCATCCTTCTGTAATTAGCAAGATAATAAGTTTTGTAGGTTGGCACTGTTTTTTTAAGGTGCTTGGTTTGTTGGTATTATAAAATATAACTTTCAGAATACTGGAAAGGTATGAATCTAATCAAGTTTCCTTTCTAAAGTTATTTCTCTTGATTTATTTTTCTTTGTTTTCAGATACTTAATTACTCGACATATTTTCTTTTATATCTATCATCGAAATGAATATGTAACCAAAACCCACTGTGCTCTTACACTGCGTTGTACGTAGCGTCTATTATCAAAAATAATATTTCGTTGAATTTTTCAAATACATAATGTCACGGGTTAATACTTACTAAATCCTGTCTTTCCCCAACCAATGACGGTAGCAACCTTTGAAGTTATCTGTCTTTTAGTATGGAGACATATCGGTAGTACATAATTATTGAAAACAACATCGCTATCCAATTTGAAGAGGGCGATGTCGTGGTAGTTCTGGCTGGGTATGTACTTAGGGTGAGGAATCCTCTCGATGATGGCTTTGTCGACTGGTTTAGCGTCGTCCGAAGAGGAACTGATGTCCAATTCTCCCAACCTGGCCCATTTTGCAGGACCTCTGAAATAAAATTGTGATGAATGTTTTTAACATTATTGCATATCGCTTCTGTTAGTGCAAAAGTTCGTATGTAAAAATTGAGTTTATTTATAGAAGAGCAAAAGAACCTATTATATCTTTACGATTTCTTTGTATAATATCATATTTTATTTACCTCTGCTATTACTTATAATTACCTAGCAGATTACTTATACCTGTTGCTGTCTACAAAACGCCACCTTTAGCGCAAAGAAAATACATATGTATAATTGTTATATTCGATCTTTTGCAGTAGCAGTAGCTATATACAGAATTTCCTGTTAGTAAATGGAAATATTTTAAGGTAATAGTATACATTAAGCGCTATAAATAAGTTCATATAAAGTATGGCCCGATATTTTCACAAAAAGTTGGATAATAAAGTTTAGTGTTGTTATTTTTAAATGTAATTCACGTTTTTTGTTGAATAGGAAGCGATAGCTAAACAAATATTTAATTCAACTAATTGACAATTATTCCATAGTAAACTAGACAAAATTTTCATTGAATATAGTTAAAGTTTGTTTTCTTAAAACTATTTAAAGAGGACTTTTAAGCACTAAAGTAATTCCGTAAAAACTTTTCTATAGCTCTTATTGTCTACAACGATCTTTTAAAGTATTTCCCTTTACTTATAGAAAACTCTGTTTATTAATTTACACAGCAGACAATTGATAAATTATGTATAACTCGACCCAAAGCATTACGAAAATCAAAGGGTTTAATTTAAACATGTAATACTTATATTTTTATTATTATATTTTTATTATGTCAACATTTAGCTTAGATCAAACTAATATGCAAAATAAATCCCTAATGATAATTAAGTGTCTGCTTGCTGATTTAACAATCCCAGTCTCCCATAAGTAAAACAAGAAAATGATAAACGTAAATGGTAAACTAACAGAGCTTTGAAAACGTTAATATATAGGTTGACAGAACTTCGTCGACTTTCATGCAAAAAAAAAGGTTTTCTGTTTTTAAAATTTTTTTGTTTGTTTAATATCAGGCAATAATTAAAGCATTAAATTTAAGTAATTAGCAATTGTAATATAGTACAATCGACAAAGTTATATTCAAATAAAAGAATATTTTTTTATTTATTTTAATATTCTACGCAATTTGCACATGCGCGGTAGAGCATACAACAAATTTGATATACTGATTATTACTCGTATCTGCGAATTGGCTTGAGACATTAATTTTGTTATTATTGAAAGAGTAGGTCTCTTGGACATTTTCTTCTTAATCTGCTTCGAGAAGGAAATTGAAAGAACATATAGATTGAAGTGATTTTCAGTAGAATAATGAAATGTAGTGTATATGTTGTTGATGTAGAACTTAATTAAAATTTTTACTTTTTTTTATTGAATATTAATAAATTCTGCAACATTAAAGGGCATTAATATTAAGGCTACATGAATCATTCACACAATATGTACATACAAATAACAACTGAGAATAATAAAGAATAATATAAATAATAAAGAAAAAGAAATATAGAAAAATAAATAAAAGTAATAATAAAATAAAAATAACATCTTAGACAAAGGCATACCTATTTACACTATTTACAATCGGTCATGTGAACTCCGAATCAGGCTTGTTCCCTCACTTGTGGAAGAAAAAGCGATGCTTCAGGAGATCCCTGCGCTTCTCCCTCAACCACTTCACTGGTATTAAAAGCCAGCGGAGGCTGAGTTAGGGCGCTACAACCACAGACACTCATGACTTGAGTGGAGAATATGGCCATTGCCAGAACTCCTATATATACATGTTACAAAAGGTCACGGGACCACTGCCGTTTTAATCCGAGGAGGATTGTAGGGATGGGTGGTGCTAGATAGAAATTGTGCTACGGGATTAGGGAGCTGGGTAATGTTCTGATGAAATTTGGAGAATTTGTTTGGTATAAGATCAAGAATAAATGGAATATTAAGGTCATTATGCAGGGTTTTATTGGTGACATAGAAGGGGGCATCGAATATTGTACGGAGGACTTTAGACTGAAAGGATTGAATGCGGTTGATGTTAGAAAATTTGGTTGTCCCCCATAGTTCTAGTCCATAGGTCCAGATGGGTTTTAGTATTGTCTTGTGGATGAGTAGTTTGTTTTCTGGCCATAACGTCGGTTAAGTTCCTGTCTTTTCAGTATAGTATGCGGATTCCACGTTAGTCGTCTGTCTAGGAGAGAATCAAGATACCAGACTGTGTCGGAGAAGGGAAGCTGGGTGGTATTAAAGTAAACTGGTGAACAGGAATTACGACGAAGGGTGAAGATTATATGTTTACATTTGGATTCATTGACTTTGATGCGCCATTTCTTGCACCAGTGTTCAATCAGGGATAGGTGCCGTTGTAGGTTTGTGGATGCTGTTTCAGGATCTGAGTTAGAAGATAGGATCACAGTGTCATCAGCGAAAGTTGGCAGGAGTGTATCTGGATGGACGGGAATGTCAGCGGTATAGATGATGTATTAATGAAAATTAATTAAATTTAAAAAAACGGCTATATTTCTATCTATCATAAGAGGAATACTTATAAATAAATATCTTCTTGAACACATTGGTAAATTGTTATTGAAATCGGCGTCTATGAATGGTTGAACTTGGTGTTGTAGTCTAGTGCCCTCCATCTTTGAAAGGAATTCAAAACACTTTTAAAAGTTGATAAGTACAGATGTATAAAACGATGTGTGTAGTGGAAAGTGACCTAATTGCTACACCAAGTTTCGATATGCAAATGAAGTTAATAAGTCTAACAACTTACCGACATGTTAAAGTTGATATGCAAACTACATTCTAACGGGGAACTTTTAGTTTGGGTACTAGTTGGGGATTTTTAAAATAAATTATTTATTATTTCAACATTTCTAGTTTTTTTAGCATTCTCAATTCAAATTCATCACATATTTACGATTATGAATCCGTACATTATATGAAATAAAACTAACAAAATTTAAGAATACTTAAAATATAACTAATTATCTTTTTCATTATTTTCATTGAAAAAGATGTTTTCGTTAAAGTTCGATCAAATAAATACTTGATTATTTAATAATAGTATTTTTTAATTACGCCAACATTTCGACCCATCTTGCAGGTTTTAGTCAGGGCTACAAAAGATACATAATATAAAAGGTACAAGGTGAAAATAAAATAAAATATTATGTATCTTTTGTAAACCTAATGAAGATCTGCAAGGTAGGTCGAAACGTCGGCATAATTAAAAATACTATTTTCAAATAATCTAGTATTTATTTGACCGAACCCCCCGACCAATTCCTTCTCATATTATATCAAGGTCGACCATCTCTACATCATTAAAAATCTATCGATCAACGAAGAAGTAAAACAAATTTCATACAATAATTTGTTTGCGCTCCAATTGCTTCAAACCACTGATAATTATAACAATGTTTTGGCCTGTTACACTATTAGCTGATATTCGCGCCTCCAGTTTTGTCAAAAAATATGGCCCAGCTGAGAAAGAGCGTGAGAGGATAAACAGAGTGGAAGATTAGAAAAGTAGGGCCGATCTTTAATTTACAACAAAAGTATACATTTGGTTCCCGCATAAATAATTACAATAAATTATAACAAGTCTATTGTTTCTATTCTCTGTGATCTGGTATGTTTTGTAATGAATTAATTAACAATTTCGATTAAACTAGCAAATAATAATAATTAGATAGTCGTAATGATATGACCATGACTCAGGGATGCTCCGTACCTCCACCAAAAAAAAAAAAAAAACTCACAATAATAAGAAATAAAAATAACTTACATGATATGCAAATTAGAACAATGCGCTGCACTCATAACATATCTAGCCGTTATGAGAGACCCAGCACATCTCCAGTCTTTCTCTGTTTCTCCGTAACCGATTAAAACCTGTATAAATGAAACATTTTATTTTTTAATGGGCAACTTTATAAGAGTGCCTTAAAAATAAGTTTTGAAATTGAAATATGGATTACATCCAATATGAATTATTTCGTTAGTATAAATGAAAATGAGTTGAATTGCGAAAATTGATTTTAAAATTATTGTTTCCATTCGATTGTAAGATAGCTATATTATTATTTGAACTGATCGTATCACTAAAACTAAAATTGGTCTGGAAGTCGCGCCTTCCACTACACAATACATTTCCTGACAAAAATATTTCATGTACAAGTGCATTTCTACTTCTGAAAGATCGTTGAGTTTCGCTCGGAGATGAAAAGCACTTAGGTACTTCCCCAATCTTAAATATTCGTAGGCAATAACCTCTCTGACAATCTACCAAGGTGTTCAAGTAAAAATGCGAATATATTCTCCTAAGATAGATAAATTTATTTTGCAGTCATTTCAGCCCGTCAAAGAGGTAAGAGAGAATGAAGAAATTGAAATCATAAAACTACGAAGGCTGAAATGGGCTATTCACGTTGCGTGAATGAGTGATGACATGACCCCAAAGAACGTTCTCACAGAAATCATAGATGAAAGACGTAAAGAAGGAAGGCCGAAACAGCGATGTTGTACTGTTACCTATGAAAGGAGAAATATTCTTATGGGAAATTGGATAATTGCCTCACGAAACAGGGACCGAACAGTAGTCGCACCAAAACTACTGTCGTAGAAAACATTGCTAAATAGCGGGCTGTAGAGCTCCGTAACTACAATGTTATGTAGAGTATTGAGGATTTTACAAAGGGTTACAAATAGGACGATTTGGAAATAAGAGGAATCTAATGCTTGATTAATGTTAAACCTTGAATCCGTACTTACAAATTAAAGGTCTGATTCTAGTAAGGCAAATGAGGTTTTTGAAAGTTTAAAATGTTTATCTAGAATTTGTTGTGTACGTTAGAAAGCGAGGAACATGCCATTGTTGTAAAGCAGACTTATTAAGCATAGACCAGAGCTGGATTCTGTTCTGGGCCCTGCCCTGTCGAATCTAGTCTTTAACGAGATGCTGGGATTGCTGGAAGAGGAGCGGTTCCAAACCAAGGCCTGGTCGGCGTCGATGACCAGACGATGATCGGTGGCCTCGAACAGCACGGCCAGGCTGAAAGGTGAAGCTTAATGATGTGCCAACCTGGTAGGAAGATGGTGCGAGAGGAATAATTTGAGGATGGATGCCGCCAAGACTCAGGCCACCCTTATGCGAGGCACGACTGATAGGGTTCACCACCCTATAACAATGACTATTCCAGTGAGACTACGTCCAAATGAGATCGTCACCTACCTTGGAGTTAAGATTGGAAATAAATTTAATGTGACACCTCACTTAGAGTATTAGGGAAGTAGGGTGACTCTAGCCTTTGACGGACAGAAGAAAGTAGACCAGGGAGGCCGCCGGACAGAGAAGGAATTTTATGTATTAGTGTACAGTTTAGGAAGCAAAAACTAATTTTTAGTTATCGACGTAAAAGGTAACGAAAATTATAACTTCTGTTATTATAAATTATAATCGCTTCTGTTCTGTATTTATTATTATTAATACAGATAAATGTGGTCAGCATATTTCAAAAACATTACCATGTACTTGTGCTCTCGGGGCAAACTCCGTGTTCCTCCAAGAACAAAAGTCCTCGTCTCAGGAGGCGTTATCTGCATCGAAGCCCGATTTATAGTTGATTTCGTTTCACGAGTAACGATTCTTCTTCTGCAAAACTGTTTCTTTAGCCTGAGACAATCTGAAATTTCTTTTATACTTAGTCGAATATATAGAGATGAGCACAATGTGATCATAATACGAAAATAAGTGTAAAGCATTAAAAAGATTTAATGGGCTAGTAAAGCTTCAATGAACTCATTAAACGATAATTTTTAGAAGGATTGTATTCATAAGAGAGAATTATTAATGGTAATGTGTCTTTTGATACTTGAATGAATAGTAAAGGTTATCCCAATCCTTTAAAGCAGAGGTCTCCAAAATACGGCCAGGGGCCGCATCCGCTAACAAGCTGTTCTACTCCGGGCAGCGAAGGTATCTTTGGGTACATGATAAGATTTTAAAAATACTTTCAAAATATGAAATTTAGTTAACCGCTCAAGCACGAGATTAATATATTATTTATAGCAGGAAATCTTATTTCACAACTGAAGTGACATTTATAAAACATTTTTTTTCTTTTCATTACAAGTCATGGCCCACGAGGATTAGTGGGAGTTTCAATATAGTCCGCGGACCGAATAATTTTCAGAATCCAGCTTTATCGGATTTAAACCAACGAGAGTGTTTCATCGCTGAATTAAATGGTTTATTGGCTGTATACATGCCTTAAATTCTAAAAGTTATAGTTAGATCAATGTCAATAATATATCTATCAGTGACCTGAATTTGAAAGAACTTTCTATCCTGGAGTTGCTCGTGAAAACCATTGTGGGTAATGCGGTTTTTAAGTGGAGAGGGGCCAATAGATTCAATTTCTGCCGATTTAGCGACCACTATCATTAACGTCAGTTCTAGGAGATTAACTAGTGTAGTTGCAGATAGTTGAGAGGCGAGCAGGCTTACGCGTGTCCACAGCGTCGCTTTGCCTGGCAACCTGATAACCCGAAGACTAAGAGTTCGATCCCGGTGCTAGTGGGACTTTTAACTCTGCCGTAAGGTTAATTCCTAGCGGATCCATTGAATGAATATCGAACTTACCACTTTGGTTAGAATAGATCTGATTGTATTTCTAGAACAACCTTCCTCCCCGTGTGCGATAAATAACCAAGTAGTGGTTGATCGCAAAAAAAACACGAGTTTATTTAAGGTTATAACATATATTTCAATCATCCAAAACTGCATGAAATATTTCCATTTTCTCACATCAGTTCTTTATTATTATATAATAATATATAATAATTATATAGGAACACTTGATTTTGTTAAAAATTACTTTAAACAGTCAGTCACTAAAAACTTCTTCCTTACATATGTTAACGTCAGAATCTTCGTATTTTCTTCTTCTTTTCCTTTTATTTCTTTTGCTTCTCAGCATTCACCTTTCTGACCGTTACATTTAATAAATAAATATATTTAATTGTATAATATTTGAATATTATGCTTTATTTGTCGATGTATTACAGATCATTAATGAACTCAATGCGCCGCAGTAATACTCAGTTTTAAAGATTAAGACAACTAATCCTTGCGATAAGATCGTATATTCTACCAGAGCAAATCTACGTAGTAAAAAGGATGTCGATATTGGATCTATGTAGATCTCGAATCACTACACCGGCCTAGCGCCATTTTGTTCACCACAGCAGAGAGACTTCGGCAGTCATCGATCGAGATCAATATACATTTCGATCTCCTCACCATCGGCTGCTTGACAACAACAGCTTGTATATGAGGTAACCTCAGTGGGAGTAGGGTTATCTACTCCACGCTAGGATTTTTTTTTTCTCATCTCTCCGTAACAACTGAATTTCTATAACGTTTTCTCGCAGAAAAACATTAAACATTAATATGATTTCTCCCCTCTAAATTATTTTTAAATTTTTTTGAACATTCAATAGAACTTTAAGTTAAGTTAATTTCTCTTGTGCTACGTTTTGGAGTGTTTTAATTTATTCGGGATGCCACTGGATAATTATTTATGGTAATTACCCTGAAATGTTTAATAAAAATTAATAATAAAAATTAGTAAAATAAATTCGGATTTATAATATATTGATTGTTCCAAAATTAATTAATTGAATTTCTTTTCTCAAAGGCTGCTTTGTGTTTATCATGCTTTCTAATTACCAACATTACCTCTGATCATCATGATATAAATAATTGGCAGAAATAAAATAACTTGTACTAAAAAACTTAATTTTTTTCTATGTTTAATAAAAAGTATATACAAATTATATTTACAAAAAACTAAATAAGTGATTCAATGAATTTAATAATTAACTGTGAAGCTATGATTTCAGATGGACTGTTTTGAGATTTATTGCCATGAAATATTATATTATTAGAATTAGGAATTACAACATAGCTATTATGGTATGAGAAGTGGTGTAGTTAGATTTCATTTCTGCATCTGCTGATCCGAGGTCATCTCTTCAAGGTTCAAGGCTATGCCAGGATCACCGTGGTCTATGTAGGGCCAAGGCTTCAATCCCCAAGCCGGAAGAAAATATAAGAACCATCCTCAAGGCCGGAAAAGTGGGGCAAGGATAGTTTTCATTGGTTCTTAACTTTACCCTATTACTTCACAATAACTGGTAACACCCTAAAAGGAACCAGTTACTTATCCCGTTACTAGTTTTTACTCTAAGCCTTCCCCAAGGTCCAAGTGCAGGTCGGTCTTTATCTACTTGCTACTCCCCCTTGACGCTGTTTTTTTATGTTACAAGTCGGTTTCATTCAATATTTTTTTTGACACCTCATAATAATTTTAAAAACTTATTTGCTATGTTCAATACATTGCACTTGTTACTAATCTATCATTTTAGAGGTTTATTTTTATTTATGTTTTATTCTTGATGGAAATTTTTTTTTTTATAGAATGTTATATTTTATGTTTAGTTTTTATTTCAGTGAACTCTTATACCATTGTTTATTTTGTTTTGTTTTAACTTTTAAATGTATATCTTTTTATTTAATATAGTATATTGAACATTCAAAAGGGTATTATTTATTTTATTTTTCATCCTTTAATTGATTGAATATTTATATTTAATATTGTTTGATGTGCACACATTTTCACCTTGTTTGTAGATGTCATTTTAACTTCGTTCCCTTCATTTTAACACCTTCGTTTTATTTTGCTCGTAATTCTCACCCTTTGAGACAACTCCAGGGGAAAGGTTTGTATTTTAATTTTGAAATACCCATGGCCCCAACGCATTAAAAAAACATTTGATTGATTATTCCCTTAAATTGTCTTCAATTCTTTCATAGTTTATATTGAGCCATTTTTATTATTACTAACAATGAAAGACAGTTAGCTATTTAAAATGAACTAAAGCAAAGGTATTTTAAAGGAATTAATTGTGTAAATTCGACATTTAAACTCTATTATGTTACATCAATTAGGATTAGAACCAGGCGATATTAAAGACCATTTAATAGCGCATTGAAACGAGTTTAGTCATGATGGTTACAGCCGTTTTCGAAAATATTTTCAACATTTGTAAAATACGAAATGACACTTCATTAGTCTATTTTAGGGAAAAGGTTGTTGTGACATCTCAGATCTACCTCAAATAAGTAATTTCAGTTTTGTAGGACTGAATTAGGCTGTTCATATACATACACAAATACACATACACTAAAACCATATTGTGAGACTTTGTGATTTGGACTAAGAAGTAACTTACTTAAAAGATTGACTTAGTTAAAACGTGTATTTCCGTTGAAATCCGAATTTGAATTATGTCACGATCGCAATACTTTTCCTTAATATAATTTCATACACAGGTCAATGAAAATAGAAATAATTTATTTATATAGAGCAGGGATCGATTTTACACAGAAAAGCAGAAATCAAAGTTTTTGTTTGTTCTTAAGTAAAATTTTGTGTTAAACAGTAGAAGATAAATAATATGCAATTTAATTGAAGTAATTATCCATTGCAGCAAAGTAAACGACAAAAATAAATAAAAGTGAAAAAATTAAGTAAAACAAAGAAACTTAACTACAGAAATAATCAAATCCAATCTAAATGGAATACACTTGCATATCTACATAAACACATTGGTAGATTTTTTGTGAAGTTAACGTCTATGAATATCCAAACTTTTTGTAGCTGTCGGGTGCCCTACACATCTCAATACTCGGAATTTGACCTGCACAAATACTTGGGACGAAATCTTCATTTTATTCCCATATGGACCTATGCATTGCAAATCTATGAAATACCAATAGAGACCCAAATTAAAAAAAATACATACTTTCCAATCAAAATCTTTACGACTCATCACGCGCTAACCCTGGTACGTTAGTGACAAAACACTAACACAAAATACAGACTTGAATATACCGATGGTACAACATCACATCCGGACATCATATAAAAAATTCCATGCCAAACTTCACGAATATACCAACATGCTTATAAAAAACATGGCCATAAAACATATGGCAGAAAACACCAGGCAAAGGATGAAAAGGATCTGGCTAAGGGATCTCCTGGATTAACTTTTTCTTTTATTTCAAGTTAGGAGTAGGTGCCGATGGATATGTCAGACCTCCCATATGCCTGGCATGCCAATTCTATCAATAAAGATCACATCCGGTTATTGTTACAGGCTGTGACAGATGAGGATTAAATAATAAACGTTTAAAAAAATCCTAAACAGAAAAAAGAACTTCATAACGTTAAGAAATTTGAACTAGCAGAGAAACTATTAAAATAACAATACATATTGGAGTGAGCGTCGTGCGGTCAATTCAGTAATCGGTTCTGTCAATACATGGTTTGGGACAGTTGGTCCGTCAATTTCTCATATCCGTCTTCCAGAATAAATAAATACGATGAGAAAACGGATTGAGAAGTGAATTCTACGCTGAAATGCATTTTAATATGCTAGCTAGTTGTTAACAAGAAAACGAAACAATAAAATTCGATTACTGGCATTTAATACTAGGGCTCTCTGTACAATTCAATAACGTTTGTATTAAATAAATTAAACAAATCAATTCGTTCGAGTTACGTATTTTAAAATTTTTGTTTGTGAGGATATCCCTCGTGTTATTTTTTAAATCAATTTTCTTCTAAGAAATTTATTAAACGTAAAAAAATATCAAATGAAATTAGTACTTTTTAATGCTTTAAACTCATCTATAAAATAGTTTACAAAAACAAATTTAATAAATCGAAATGTTGGCAATGAGGAAAGCATGGAATGGACCAATTAAAAGCCTTACCATAAAGATATGTGTCCTAGATGCAGACTCTTTACCACCAACCACATTTTTTGTGAGATCCAGGCTATTTCGGCATCTAAGATCCAGCACCTTGCATACTATAAGCAAACAATACCAACATATTGGTGCACGCTTCTATTTGTGTCAGTGGGTCATTAATAATTGTTTCAATTGTAATTATTGTACAGCTAATTTATAAAATTAAGAATGTCCGATAGGTAGCCGAAAAAATAGTCCTTCGAGTGACAATGGAAGCTTGAGGAAGCATATCATAAATTTGTTCAAACACCGAGAGGTGTCAGCAACTCTAAAGAAAGAAGATGGATGGGGAGAGGGGGGGAGGATCTGAATCCTGTGTTAACCAGCTTTCTTCTGTATTTATACATTTCGCTGACTTCCCGATCGCAGATCATGAAACTATAGTATTTAACACATTAGATATTCCACTTCAGTTGACACTAACACCTCCTTTTTTTTACTCAATCTAAGATTGCACTAAAAATCAAATTAAATCAAGAAAAGCTCTGGGTTATAACCTAATAACTGCCGAAGCTCTCTAACAGATGCTCAAGAAAGTTCTAATATTTCTGACAACAATTTCCAACTGTATACTAAGGAGTTCAAACTTCCTACGACAGTGAAAATAATCTCATTAAAATTATACACAAACCAGGTAAAGACACATAAAGTCATACATCCAATTAATCTCCTACCGATAAACTCCTGCGTATATGGCAAACTAATATACAAAAGGGATGAGAAAAAATCTTAACCCTTTGCTAAATAGTTTTCTTATGTATTTATACATTTCGCTGACTTTACAAATACAGAGCATATGACACATAAGATATCCCACATCAGTTGACACTAAAACCTCCTTTTTCTACTCCATCTAAGACCTGAATAAAAATTAAATTAAATGAAGAAAATCTCTTGGTTATTAACTGCCAAAGCACTCCAAAAGATGCTCAGGAAAGTTCTACAAACCAATTAATCTCCTACCGATATACTCCTGCATATTTGGAAAAGTAATATACAAAAGACTTTTTGACATACTGACTGAACCATCATATAATACCTAAGCACTAGTTCGAGTTTCGGACATTCCATTCCACAATTACGTAGATCAAAAGCTATATCGAACTGGTGTATTTTTGTTTGTCACTCAGGCGCTTGACAAAGTCTGGTATTAGGGTCTTCTCTTTAAACTTAAGAGCTTACAACTATACACTTAATATCTTGTCCTTCAATTTTTCTTCAATTCGTCTAATCTTGGCAGGAGTTTTTCCAGGTTCAATATTTCTACTTTACATTGTATACACTTATGACAAGCCTGTTGACAATGAATGATTTACAGCTACTTATAATGACGACACAACAATTCTCACAATACATTAAGATCCTACACATACCTTATTAACTTTACATCACTTACTTACTTAAATAACAACATTGGTCCAAACTATGGAAAATTCGTATAAATTGTGATAATTCCAAACAATGAGATTTACTCTTCGATAAACTACTACTGGCAAATACTTGGAAGTGATACAGAGACTGTAAAAATGAATCGGAAGACCCTTTACTAACCACTCTATCTACTTTTTTAAATATCCAAAACAGAACTGAGACAGAGACTAAATACATTTACATACTTTCATAAACCCATATGGACAAGCTCATCACATACAACTGCTTTAAACGTTCCAATCAAAATTATTACGATTCATAACAAAAGCACATTGGTGCGTTACTAACAAAACTACACCTGCCAAAATTTGACCAACATATAACGACCCTTTACTAACGATTTTATACAACTATAAACGGACATAGTAACAGTTTAATAAGAGAAAAGGCCACACCTCACATATTCCTGAGTATGAGGAGAATACAGCTGTACAATTAATAGCAACAAACCAGGAAAGAGGAGTTACAAGGTATTGTCCTGCTCGATATTTCGTTTACAACTTGTCAGGTGAAAAAAAATGTTTATATAAAACTTTATGACAGAAAAAAAGAAAAATTTTCTTAATAACATAATAATGTAACAAGTATTATTGAAAACTAACAACAGCGTTGTACATTATATTAAATAAATAATGGCTATAATTAGTAAGGATTTCAAGACAAGTCCTTGAATCTCTCAAATAGCAATTTATAGCCGATCAGTTATAAATGTTTCATTAATTCAGATCATTATGTTTTCCAATCGCGATGACGAATCGGCGAAGCTTGAAGTCCAAGCTCTTTACTAAATTGAAGAAGCATTACTTGTGTATATTATTTTCAACCTTAATCTTGTATATACTTAATTTATATTTTTATAAAAAATATCTTGATATCCAAGTTTAGAAAGTTTTGTATTCATGCAAAAAGTTAAAATGCATAAAATGTTCTCAGTATCGAAAATTTTCCCTCGTCTTTACGAGGGACTTTGGATTCGTGTCTATCTGTAGACATATCCATGTAACCGGCATAACATCTACTTGATTTTAATACAATACCAGGGATTGTGTAGATTCTTGCCTAGATAGTTTCTTATCATTTTATCTGATTCCATACAACCCTTTCGCTTTCTTACCAGCTTATTTTTTTAGACACGCCTATATTTAAAACGAACGGCTCATTCTATTTGCTCCCAGGTTGAAGGAAAGTTGGTAATTACTATGAAAATGGTCCTGTACAAATTTCATTTGGCAATTGCCTGTTCCGGTAGATCTTATTCTAAAAGTATTTTATAAACAAACCTTTGTTCATTAACGAGTATCATAAGAAAGCCAATTTTAGATCATTTTATTGGTAACTTTTACCTTTTGTGATTGTCAACATAGATTTTACATGCAACTACAAAGCTAGGTGACATGCAAGGTCCTCTCAAGCCTTCAAATAGAAAGTATTCTTACATTGCTCCGCCTTGTGCCCTTGGTTAACCTTAGAGGTCAGCTTGGTGGGGCAGCAGACGATCGGCTCCAAGTTCTTGAAGGCACAGATTGGAGGTCGATTCTTCTTAAAGTCTCCGAGGGTCTGGCATTGGCTAAGTAGGGTACAAGTGCCCTGGCCTCCACCGAGTGGTCGGCACTCATCTCCTGAGAACATTAAAGTGTCAGGTAAGGAAAACTGCTAGATGAATACATGCTTCAGACTTAAAATGTAATAGATACACAACAAAATTACTGATCTAAATTATATCTAATTAGTTGGATTTAATATATGCAGATCGTTAAGATAAGCATTGCTAAGGTGTGATTATAGGACAAATAATACAGTACTGGTTTGATTGGTGTCATATCTGTACCCCGGAGGTAAACAACACCGTGTTCATTATTGTATTTGTTCAGGGGAGCCGGCTTTTTATAACGTTTAACTATTAAAATTTCATCGTTAGTTACTACATTATTTAATAAAAAAATAGACATGGTGTCTGTCTCTCCGGGGCACAGATATGTATTTATATAACCAAAATAAGAGAGGTTGGACGAGTTATGGTTCAAGTTACCGACGTAATGAGGTCAGAACATAGATGGGCATATTCTGGGGCGCGGGGTGGCCGAATGGGCTAACGCGTGTGCTAAGCAACCAGATAATCGAAGATTAAAAAAAAAATAAGTACGAGTTCACGTCCCGGTGCCGGAGGGGATTTTAAATTCCGCGCCCTCGCCCTTTGGTCCGGGAAAATCCCGTATAGCCTATGAGGCTAGATACGGAAGAACATAAAAAAAAAATGATGAGTATATTTATAACCAACGGTTACGATTACAGTCATTATGATTACGTAATTACACGATTACAATCATGTTTTTAGATTACGATTGTAATCAGGTAATCAGATCGTGTAACATTTTTGCTCTACTTGTAGTGCCATTGAATCAAGCATAAAATGAAGTTTTATTTTCAGTTGTAATTGTCGAGGTATAATGTGCGGAGGATACATTTACCATAAGGCCTCGACAGAGCGTGTTCAATATAGAGAGTAAAATGACTAAGTGAGGAGGAGGGAAGATGTGTAGAAGGATGACCTTAAGTTTCTGGATGATCTGCACCCGATCACTCTTGGTCTGCGGTGTAAGGGATCAACCTTAACACTCCGCAAGGATGGTAACCACAAACGGAGGGATCATTCTCCAGACTTTGAGGAAGGATGAAATACTAACGGAGGGATCAATGTCCTGACTTAGTGTACAGGAATGCATTCAGACGAATCAGCATCCAGACTTGTATGGAGAGAGATAATTGGATAAAAGATTACTGGTCATAGTAAAGTAAAAAGGCAGAATGATGAGAACAAAAAGCGTATATGAGGTATATAGTAATCATCGGCATGTAAGGTCTTCACCCCGAAGGGCGTACAATTTTTAAAAAGGACAGCGGTATTCAATCCACCATGACTAAATCGGCTATAAAGAGCCATTACAATTATGCTTATTTTTAAGCTTTGATTAGTATATGTAATTGCCTTTAAACTTTACTAATAAAAAGTATTTACAATGTATATACATATTTCAGCTTTCAATTTGATTATTTTATCATATAAGAATAAGAAAAAAAAATACAATTTGTAGGTACATTGCACGAGCGAGCTTGTGTGATGATGCCTGACAGCGAGCAGGTGAACAAGTTGTCCCTTGTAGAAAGAAGCGGGAATCTGTTAACGCCACACAATCATGTCACATTTTTTCAATCTCAGGATCAGGGTGAATAAGTCGGTATTTATTCGGTAGAACCACCACGAAATCTATATCAAACCTTCCATTAGGCCGCATTTAGACTAACGGCAATTTTGAATCGGGAATAGTCATGTCATATAACAATTATGACTTAAATCACTTGATCACCACGCCTCCGTAACTGCTTATTTGTTAGTTAATAACATTCCTTAGTTCCTCTAACTTTAAATGAAATAAAGAGAACAACAGAAATAATGGTTTGCTATGTTCCTGGCTTCGCGTTTCTACGGCGAGTAGGGGGTTCCAGGAACCGCATTTATTTGTAATAAAATGTATTTAATACTTAGATTTGTATTGAAATGTTGGGATACCACAGACCCCCTACTGTAGTATCCTAGATTGAACCATATAATTTTCATTGGATTTCTAGGTATCGTGTTTTTAAATTTACTATTTGTTTCTATTACTAATTGTTGGCATGCAAGGTAGAATGTAAAATTAACAAGATGGTTTACTAACTATTATATTTACAAGTTTAATTAAAGCCGAACCATATATACACAAAATAATAATTAAAACATATATACAATGTGCTATGTTCCTGGCCTCGCGTTTCTACGGCGAGTAAGGGGTTCCAGGAATCGCATTTATTTGTATTAAAATGTATTTAATACTTATATTTGTATTGAAATGTTAGATACCACAGACCCCCTACTGTAGTATCCTAGATTGAACCATATACTTTTTATTGGATTTCCTTTCTAAAGGTATCATGTTTATATATTTACTATTTGTTTCTATTACTAATTGGTGGCATGCAAGGTAGAATGTAAAAGTACTACGTTGGTTTACTAACTATTATATTTACAAGCTTAAATAAAACCAAAAACATCTGTATACAAAATAATAACTAAACCTATATACATAATGAATAGTTGAGAATCATACTGGAGGAGAATGCTTGATGTTTGATTAAAGATATATGTGTTATATTGATTATATTAATTAATGGTTTATGGTTGCCAACACAAATTTACATTAGTATAACTAAATGCTTGTTACCACTTAGCTGGTCCTTCATAGTGTTTCTAGCCGTCATATCTGGATTCCCTGTCTCTGCTCTCCTTCAGCTTCTAGTCCGTCCATCTGCTCTCTCCGCTTCTCTCCAGTCTCAGCCTGTGTCCCCAGCTCTCCTCCGCCGAGTCCCAAGAGGAAGCGTCCTCAGCCGAGTCCCCAGAAGAAGTGTCCTCAGCTGCGTTCCAAGAAGAAGTCTTCTCCTCTCCGAGTCCCAAGAAAAAGTGTTCAGTCCCAATTCTCTATTTCCCACCTTTTTTCATCCCCCTCTCTTTTGGTAGTCTTTTTCCTGATTGGCTGAATATTCTCAGCCTAAGGGATGACCACGCCCTCTCCCCCAGGCCAAGGTAAATCAGCAGGTACAGATTTCCATATTTCTGGTGGAAGGTGTGAAAAGGTCTTTCGGGATCCTTTTTAAACACTTAGTTGTCGGTCTTTGTCGGTGGTCCTTAAAGGTTTTTATTACCACTTACAAAAGGTTGGGCTTGTTGGTCGTTACCCCCAGTCAGGTACCGCCAGATGTGAACACTTATGATGTTTATTTATACATTTAAAATAATTATTCCACCGGCGGTCTTTACAATACATAGCAAATGATATTAGAGAATCATACTAGAGGAGAACGCTATTTACAAAATTATGCCTGATTATTGGTTGCCAACACGAGTTTACATCTTTATTAATAAATCAGGGTTATTACCTAGCTGGCTCTTCATGGTGAGGGGGGTTGATCTGTCTCTCTTCTGGCTGCTTCCTTGGACATCTGTCTTCCTCCAAGTATCAACTGTCCTAGCCTGCTTCCCAGCTTGAAGTCTGCCCTCGCTTGAGTTCCAACTTGAAGTGTCTAAGACCTAGTCCTATATTTTCCTCCTTCCTTCATCCCCCTCTCTTTTGGTAGTCTTTTCTGATTTCTGAAGGGATGACCACGCCTTCTCCCCCATGCCAAGATATTCCAGCAGGTATATTTTAGGTATTTCTGGTGGAAGGTGTGAAAGGTCTTTCTGGAATGTGTCAATGTTTCTTTGGTTCCTTTTTAAACACTCAGGCGTGAGACTGTTGTCGGTCTTTATGTGGTTCTTAAGGGTTTTATTACCACTTACAAAAGTTTGGGTCGTTACTCTCCCTCAGGTACCGCGAGCTGTGAGCAATTATCTTTTAGAATATATTTGTTCATTTTAAATGATTAAACATATTTCCCAGGCGGTCTTTAGAATACTTAGCAGGTTTATTCAAAGAACATAAGCAAAACCCATTTCATTCTCATCACAAACGCTAGTCTTAAATATTTGACCGAGTTAGTATACAAAACCGGTTTGTTGTCAAAGTATACTGGGAGAAAATGTATCGGAGTGTGGATATAAAGTGTTTTAAACTTCATTGTTTACTTTGACTACTATTCAACATATGCATTGATTAAAGTAGGTCTGTAACGGGCGGGTGATGCTTTCCGAGACTTTCCAAGTTTCGCCGTCATAGTGCTGAACCGCTTTCACGTTTTTATTGAAGAGCCATATTTTCGTGTATTTGAGAGGTTTCTGTTTTTCATGCTCGGTATAGTTGCACAAAAAACCCCTTTGGCCTTCTGTATGCGGCATTTCGTATCTTTAGCTGAGCCACCTTCATTTGTGCTTCGCTTTCGGTAAACAAAGTGTTCCACGCTCTCGCCCATCAAGAGAAGGGGCTCCCTGCATCGCTCATTCATCTTCTTCTCTTTTGTCTTGCTTACATTGATTCGTAGTCCAACTATTCGGCTGAGGACATCTGACTTGCAATGAAAGTCACTGAACCTCTGCACTAGGAGATAGAGTGTTTCCGAAAGTTTCTTCTTTTAAAAATAAAATCTGGAATAGGTTTTTAATGTAAGTTTTTAAACAGTGTAAAAATACCCGAATTTCACTGTTTTTTAACAATAAAAATTTTTGAAAACTTAAAATTTAAAGTTAGAAGGATGTAATTCAATTTCATAGCTTATTGTATAAGCTTTCATTTTTTATTTAACATCCCTACTCAAATATTCTGAAATCTTCATCTTCTGTTTATATCCCACAATAACTAGCTGGAATTCAGCTTACATGTTACATCTGTAATGGGTTTCATTTTGACCGAATCCCATAGTCTTAACATCCATAATCTTAATCATAACAACGATCTACTATCATAAATATAAAATCCCAAATGCTTTTTCGAAGCATTTGAGATTTTAAACAAGATGGAACAATCATGTTTTGAAGGAGTTAAATACTTAAACAGATTCCTTCCTCAAGGATCGTTATAATTTAAAAGTATGTAAATTCCTCTTTAAAGGAACTGCAATTTGTATCTGAGAAGGTCATCTCATGCTCTTGACCATGAGTCCACGAATAAACGTTTTGCTCTTCGTAACATTTTTATAAAATAAAATAGTAGAAATATTGTTTTTATTATAAAAACGATTTCAGGAGAACAAAATTTATAAAATGCAATGGATAAAGCTGACTTAAGTTTCAGAGATACATAAAATAATTTAAAAACGGAAAACAATTTACTAAAGTCCTTTATTTAAAATGCTTAAATATTATCAATTTAAGCTTAGTTTTGCCGCACTTTCTTTCACTCGTCTTCCCCAATCTAGAAAAGAAGTGTGATTTCTTAGTAAGGATCAACGCAACTGTTCCTATGTGTGTTTGCTGAGGGATGGTCATTGTTATGGGAGCCCTAATAAAATAAAAAAATATTAATAATATTTGACTTAACTTCCTAATGTTTCGAAGCTAATGGCAATCAAGGTGAGAATCCTAATGTTTTAGGTGCAATCCAAACTACGATCAACGTTGTCTGGCAAAAAAAAAAACTGCTACGAAAGCTGAGAAGTTGTTCTAGACAAAGTTCAAATACAAAAATTCTATGTTTTAATTTTTCAATTGTGAAAAATATCTCAACAAATTGTGTAGATAATTCTAAATCTACCGAAAATCCAAAATAACTGAAAAAAAAGATATTAAACCAAGAGAAATATTTATTCGACCTTCATTCTCACTTTCAATCAACTCTTCACAAAATAGAAGCATATGATTTACTAATTTAAATAATAAAGGTCAGGAATCCTTTTTAAATATAGGCAACAAGAAAACTATTTAAAATGCTACTTATGATTACACTTTTAACACCTGCCAAATGATCAACTCCCATTATCTTTTCTGTGGCTACAACCATCTTTAGTTCAAGTCTTCAATCCATTCTAAGAGCATAATGTCCTGTATTTCTGTTTTTTATCTGTAGCATTCGAATGTTTTTTCTCATCTAATCCACCGCTGACAGATACTGTTGTATCTATCGATACAGAACAGACACTTTCTAGCTGCTAATTTATTATCACTTTATAAAAGTCAAATGGAAATAGTTGATCTTTAATCATACAATATTTTCTTATAGCAGGTATATGCTTATTATATTTTGTTCCATAGGGTATGCTTCTAATGTTTTAAGTACGGCTTGATTTTTTCAAAACAGACCAAGTGCAACGTTATAA